GTAAAAACAACATTTTCCATCCCTCCAACATATTTAGTAATTATTATCTGTTACTTAGTCGCTTATTTTCTTCAAATTACAAATGTTTAATAGAAATGTGGCGATTTTGTAGCCGTTTAAGACGCTGCTTATACATTTTGGAACTCTGATGAACTAAATTTAAAAGTAATTAAAATAAAATAATTTTACATTTGGAAAACTTACCCTGGGACACCAAAAGGAGAATACAGTTTGCCACGTTGGCTAATTTTCTTATTCCTTGCATGGAATATTAATGTTTATGTAAATCCTAGTATTCGATATTTTTTGTCGATAATTTTGTTGTAGAGTGTGGGTTTTTCTTCACTGTGAGTCTTTGTAAGTTTCCCCCACACTATATAGGGTACTTTGTCCTCAAAATCGGTTATTTATTTATGCGCTTTTGTGCTGTCGGTGCCATTGTCATTGCGCTTTAGACAAGGTCTCTAATTTGATTGCCTATTGTATGGAGAAGAAATGCATTTTAATTCGCATTGAATTATGCGTAGAGCAGAAAAATAACCGCACAATGGCAGGGATCAACAAATTTACGATGCATAAAGCTTGGATGCGACAGTTGTTGTTGTTGTTGTTGTTGAATTGGTGTCGTTAATGTTTTGTTTTGTTGCCGGGTTTCTTATACGCAATGCGCCGTGTCTTATGGCAGTGGTACATGGGCCAAATTCAAAGGTTTTTTCCATCTGCTGTTGCTGTTGTTGTTGTTGCTTTGCTGTGCATTTAAATGCATTTATCTCAATTACGGAGAGCAAGAAAACAAAAATCGCTTGCCTACAACACATTGTTTGCAACAAAACAAAACTTTCACTGGAACGCAAAAAACAAAAAGGAAAGGCAAATAAACAAGAGTGCAGAAGTGCGAGCGGCAGTGAGAAGGAGGGCGAAAAAGGGTTTATTGTTAATTAAAACAAATAAAATAGCAAACCAACAAAAATAAAATGCTATAAATTATTCGTGCAACAGAAGTGTGGAAAGAAGCGGCATCCGTACATATTCATTAATTTGTATATATGTATGTGTGTATATAAATATGTACGTTAAAGAAAGAGACGCACACAAGACAGAAAATGAAAGAAGCAAAGCCAGTTTCCGGCGTCCTTCACTCAAGGCCATTGCATGGCGGCTGAAACAACAACAAAGTCAACAACAACAGCCACAATGAGAGCGTAAAGCAAAACACAAACAATAATGGCGCTTCATTGTGGATGCTGCTGTTGCTGCTGTTGTTGTTGTTGTTGTTATTGCCGCTGCTGCTGCTGCTGCTGCTCCTCATGACGATGATTGACGTCTGCTTAAAAGAGTTGAGAGTAAATTTATGTAATTTAAGCCGCGAATTTTCGCCTTTTCTTCACAATTTGCATATTTTTGCACATTTATTTTATTATGCATTTTCAAAGCGTGCTAATTGCTTGCCAGAGTTACGTCACACGACAAGCTCTGACCGATCAGTTGTCAATCAGGTAGAGCCCACGGCAACTTGCTAAATTATTTAAATAAATCCAATTGATTAATTGGCAGTGCATGAAGATATGCGCTAAAAGAAAAAAAAGTGTTAACCATGTTTTGCGAATTGGCAAATGACAAAAAACAGATAGCCATGAGATATGTAGAAGGAAGTGTAAATACTATAGTCACGTTTACCAAACAAACTTCCTGGTGCACGCTCCTTACGAGTAAAACCAAAAACAAAAACAAAAACAAAAAATTATTGTCCACGGCTCGCAAATCAAGTTCAAAGAGTCGAAAATCCAAACAGCACGAGCAACTATGCGTCTGCTTAAGGAAGCAACATCGAAGCGAAGTGAGGGCCAGCGCTGCCATTACAGCATACGAGTATGTATGTATGTATGTATGTATGTATGTATGTACACACAACCAGGCATCAACAAAACAACAACGTTGTTGTCAGCTCGAAGTCCGCCTGCTTGATGGTGGTGCTTGAACTCGAAATGAAAGTGAAAATGTACGACTGACTGCGCAGCTTCAGCTTCAGCTTCGGCTTCGGCTTCGAAGCAACGCCAACAGCTGAGCCCGCTTGCCAACTCTTACTTTTGTAAAGTTGTTTCGTGTTTGTTGTTTGACCATGCCACAACAACAATAACAACAACAACAATAACAACTTCCACTGCAACAACAAAGTGCTGCTGTTTTTATTGCAGTTTTTCATTGCAGTCATTCATTTCCTTCTATCGTTAAAGCGAAATGATAAAAAGACGCATTGAAATTGCAAACCAAATACACATTGCATTTTATGTTCAAACATTATGCTACTACTGAAGAAATCCAAGCAAAATAAACACACTATTATCTTAGGCGCTTTTTTGAAACCTAAATAAAATGCTCTTTCATTATTTTTAACGTTCGTTGCAATTGATTCCTTTTTTGGCGAGATTTTTGTTTAATGCTGACACTGAAGAAGAGCGCGCCCTGTGCGATCAAATAAGGAGTTTATAGAATATGTTGCTTTCAAAATGGGGAATACCATTTTTTTTGGTGCATCTCTAGATCTGCCGTCGCAGAGAGATATGTGGGACTCGCACCCACTAACACCCCTGCTCCCAGGACTGCATTCCACTCTAGGACTGCTTTGGTATTACTTAAGAGTGGAGTCATATTTTACCGAGCATGCGCTTTCCAAGTTTAATGCCTGAGTCCAGGCCATATATGTACCTTCCGGCATTTGAAGTTGACTCTTCCTGTGCCTCTATAGAGTCAAGATCAAGCTTGTACTGTCTTAGGACCCTTTGACCTATAGCACTACTGTTATTCAGTTGTCTTTGTTCCCAAGAATGTTGTCGCATGTTCCGTAGCCAACTTTTTCATGAACTCTGCTGGGGAAATACCTTTAGTAGTTTTTATTAAGTAGACAAAACTAGAGATTAATTTTGCCAAATAGAATTCAAAAAGGGGAAATTTTCTAGACAAAATAAAAAACCAAACCGAAAATTATGTAAAGTAAGTATCTTGCATAATTAGACTTATGATTGCGAATTAATAGTGTAATTTGATAGCTCTACTTTTTATTTGAATTTAAAAGAGGGCGGAAAGGACAAAATATAAAACAAAATCTTATTGAGTGGGGCGGTTCTTATAATATAAAATATTTTAATGGAGTCATATAATGACAAATTTTAACCAGTCTCAACTAGATTGTTTTTCATTGTTCGATGTGATTAACAAAGATTGGTTCAAAACGTAGCATCAACTTTAAAATGTCATGTTCTTTATTTAATTAATTTTAACACAAAAATCAAATGGATTATCTAAACGACTTCTCACAGCATACAAGTATGACAGTCACAAACTTTAAGGAAGTTTCTTAAACGGACCAAAATCAATGCTCAAGGTCAAGATCAGCCGCAGCCATCTAGTAATGTGGCTTCAGAAGTATCTCGATTGAATAGCATGTTCATATATGTATGAGTGTGTCCTTATATAAATTTTCGTATACTTAGCTGCTGTGCCACGCTTTTATTTGACAGCTTGCAGTATTTCGTCCACTTAAACGCATTTGTTGCAAGTTGCAACTGGTTGGTTGGCGCCCGTTTCAAAATTATTTGCGGTTGGGGCATTTTGCAATCCGCAATCCACAATCCGCAATGTGAGCGAGGAAATGTTGTGGCAGGCACAGCTCGTTTTCATTTGCAGTGCAAATTGACGATTTATAATTAATTTGTTTGCGGCTTACCCGTAATGTACATTTAATGTCTTAAAGCGCATTTCGCACGCATGCGCATTCAAAAGGCAGCGTCTGTGAAATGAAAGCTCGTTTGCGCAATTATCAGTTGGGGTCTGGTCTGGGGTTGGATAAGCAGCTGGAAGGGGTTGGATCGGTTAAATGACTAAACGCCTACGCGCCTATTATTTTATTTTCCAAATGTGCCTTTAAATACAAAACTCGTTTTTCATTTTATCTTTTGCAGGCAATTAAGGAAGTAATTTGTGGCCAAAGTTGTTGTGGATGTTGCCACTGCTGCTGACAACCGGCATAGCAACAGCAAGAGCACCAACAACAACAACAACAACAACAGTAACATTTACTAGCATTCGTTTGGCAAAATCATCAGCAAGGCGCCAGAGTGAAGAGCGGAAACAACAACAACAACAACAGTAACAACATGAAACTTCGCTGCTAAAGCATCAAAAGCAATTGCCATAATTGCCATTGGACCAAAGCCAACACACCCCGCACAACAACACACACACACACACATAAAATAAAACACACTTACTCCAACACACACATATATATATAAATATACATAGAAAGCAAGTTACTCGCACATCAGTAGCCAGTCATTTAGCTATCAAGGAGTCCAATAACCGCTCATTCACCAAGAGCTTAAAAAGCTTACTTATAATACACACACATACACACAGACATACACACACACACACACACACACACGCACACACACACACAGAGGTATCTCCCACCATATAGAGTGTGTTCGGTCGAGTTCCTTAACTTGCAAAAGAAACTCGCCAAGTCGTACGAGATATCCGCGGCAGGTACAAATCGAAGCGTATCGTTTCGGATTCAGCTTCAGCTCCAGCTGAATTGTAACAGCCCGAACGCAACGGAAAATCCCAATAGCAGCAGCAGCAGCAACAGCAACAACAACAACAACCAGTGGGGATCAATGAACGCGACACGCAGCTGCCAACATCGAAGCAGAAAATAATACGAAAAGCGAAAGAGGCAAACATTATTTGGCTTGGATCGGCTTGACTTGACTTGGCTTTGGTGCAAGTTCAAGCACCAATCAGGCACAGTCCAAAATCGCTGCAACAACCACTGCAACAGCAATAGCAACAAGCAACAAGCAACAAGTCACAAGCTACAAAAAATAACATCGTCAAGCAGGAAGTTGCACGACTGCACCTTAATTGGTCGCAGTGTCATTATCACCGCCTCAGAGCGTTGCAGAAAACCGTGCATCCTGCCTCACGCTCAATGTAAAATGTTAGTGGCCAACAGATGGAGTCAATTGACGCTTACGTTCACCATCATCATCACCATCAGCATCAGCCTCACCATCAGCATCGTCTCGCTAGCGAGTCTGCCTTGCGCACAAGCGGCTGCACCCTCCACAGTCTCGACGGCGCTGCTCACAGGCCAGCAGCTGCCGCCCTGGCTGACAGCAGCCACAAAATCGACAGGAGGCGTAACCTCGGCTCCAGCACCGCCGCGCACCGCCCGCAATTTGTATGCGCCCTATCAGAGCTTCAGTCAGCAGGACGACATCAGCTTTAAGGATGTGCGTCAGCGCACGGACGGCAGCATTGTGCAGTCCTTTGGTTCCTATCGTACGGCACGTCAATCGCCGACGGCGCAGCGTCGAGCCGATGTAGCTGTGGAGGTGATACCGGCGCCATCAGTGGAACTGCCGCAGAGCGAGCTCATCACCATACCAAAGCAGCTGGTGCCCACTACGCCGGAAAATGTGACGCGTACGGGTCGTAAGCGCAACTACGTGTACATTCCACTGCAGCAGGAGGCGAGTGAGTCACCAGCATTGCTGCAACTGCGACCCAGTCGGAATGCCACACTCGGGCAGCTGGGACCGCCGGCCGATGGCGTTGCAGCCATTGCCCATGAGTTTGGCTCCGACCTGGTGGCCGATCGGACGCAGCAGCGGGATCGCACAGAACGCAGTGATGTGCTGGTGGCTGCTGCCAGCTCCACCGACAAGCAACAGCTGGAGCTCGCTGAGCCTGAGAACACAAGCCGACGTGTGGGCTTTCAATTTCCCAGCTATAGCCTCAAGCCCGCCAGTCCCAGTCTCTTTCATCCGCAGTCCTATCGCGAAGATAACCCGATCTTCGCCGAGACTAGTGCCTTCGAGCAGCCGTACAGCGAAGATGCCACACCCACGCATTACGAGACTCATGAGACACGCCACACGCGTCAGCTTTTCTACGATCCAGATGTGACGCCCACGACCTTTGAGTTCCCCGGCTTGGTGGCCAACACGAAGCCGCACACGCTTAACTCTGCCGTAGCGGGGGGCAAGATCTATCGTGATGAGGTCACAAAGTTCGGAGACATAAACGGACCGATTACAGCCCTGCCACAGCGGCCTCAGCGTGGTCTGTACTTCAGCGATACGGACTTCCGTACGGGTCCCATGCGTCAGTTTGGCCCACAGAAGAACTTCAACGAGTACGTGGGCCCCAGCGACTACCAGGGATCGCGCAAGAGCCGTTACTATCCCTACAAGTCGTCCCGCAGTCCGCGAGTCGTCTTTCCCAGCAATGACAATGTGGGCACGACAGGTCCGAGTAGCGGCAGCGGGCCCTCCGGCAACGGAGTTTACTTCAGCGACAATATTGCCTTCAGGTGAGTCAAAATTAATTAAATTATTAACTAGAGAATGTATTCAAGCTCACTATATTAAACGGGCCTGACATAACAATCCCACAATGTGAGTTCGTTCCTTGAGTAGGCACTTAGCTCGAATCATTAAATGAATGATTAAAAAATGTCAAAATTATCCTGAAATTGAATAACTGTCCAGCCTAGGACAGATATTAAATAAAGATTAAAGATTTCCAAAAAGAACTAAGTACCCAACAGTATTCTTAGCATCAGTTTTAAAAACCAGTTTCAAAATACAAAGTATATCAGCATATTTACGTATGCCTTTTGTTGATTTAAATCGATATACAACGAGTATATAAATTGAATTTTGTATGAAACTGCCATAAAAAAAGTGAGGCTCCCATAAATACTGGCACCTAAGAAGCAAACAGTAATCCAATACTAATCCCCTCAAAAATTTTCCGAGAGAAATAATTGTTAAGCAGTATTAATTTCTCCCATTTTGTGCTCCACAGAGACCAGAATTTTGGAATTAACGAACTAGCTGCTGTACAGGATGTGCGCAATGACTTCAGTCTACAGGATCTGGACAGCGCCTCTGAGGCAACCAGCAGTCCGCAATCGGCGAGCACGTTCAAGGAGAAGGGTAAGTCCCATTTACTGCAACTCTGCTAGATTGTAAGCATGGCACATCCTGAGGTGATGTGCCCCGAACAGTGTGTTTGCTTGGTGCGGTCGCGGGCATCTCTTCTTGCACTTTATGCATAACCATAACCCCCCAAACACACACACACACACACACACACACACTCTCTCACTCACACCCATACAGAAAGACAAACAGATAGGCTGATACACTTACCCACATACTCACACATTGTTGCTCATTCCATTCCTCGACCCACCGGCAGTCGACATCACATCGGACATGGAGTGTCAACATCGCGGCGGCACTTGTGAGTTCTTTTTAGGCTGTTGGCTATCCGGGGGTCTGATACAGGGAACCTGCAACGGACTGCTGCGTGGCTGTTGCCATCGCACAGCCAAGTCGGCGAATCTGCGCAGCTCGGACTATATCGGCAATACGATCGATCTGACTGATCTTCCGCAAAAGAACTTCGGACCGGTGAACAACGAACCCAGTGAGTGTCTGAGCCGAGCCGAGTGGCGGCCAAACCAAGAAAAATACAAAAAAAAAGCAAATCAGTCCAAGCACGTGCACACTAAAAACTGAACCGGTTGGTGCTCCCAGTTGGCCCGGAGGCGGGTGTAAAGAGTCGGCCTGGAGAGCTAATTAATTTGCATGCCTTTAACTTAACATTTGTAGTTCGTAGTTCTGCACCAATTGCTTAGTACTTCTAACAGTGCTTTAATAAATTGCAATTTCTTGTAATTATTTCACAAACATCACAAAAACAAAAAACAATAAAATAACCCGATATCGTGCATGGTACTAAACAAGAGATAAAGAGAGAAGCAAGTGACAATGGAATGATAAAAATATAAAAAAATTCATAGCCAAGCATGTGCATGTTAATTACTACAACTCCATAATGATAATTAAGACATATTACCGGAACTCTTGGCAAAGGTGCCTGAACGAACACAGATCAGACCATGACTTAAACTGAGATCCAAGCTCAGAGAACTACTTGTAGTGAGGCTGCAGACTAAACGAATTGCGGAAGATCAGCCAGCGGTGTTACCAAGACTATCATTTCATTTTTAACTTTTATTTTATGTGGCTTTCAGGACTTAAAAATTTATAACAACTTAGTACACACTTCTTTAAAAAGTAAAAAATGATATGATAACACTTTTTCGCAAAATAAATAATAAAATGATTCGAAAATTTCGCTTTCAATGGAACAGGGTATGCGAAGTAATCTATATTCGATTATCATAAAAAGAGCGAAAGTACTTGTATAATGGTGCTAAAGTGTTTAAAAAAAGATATTTCAATTTCAATCTGTTTATATGCTCCTTCATTTTTGTGGTATTTAAGTGGATTTGATTTGAAATTCGACTTGTGTTAAATTCCGTTTCGAAGCATGCGAAAATAGTTTTTCAAAACCTTACTATGTTATTTGAATTTGCGTTGGAATATTTCTCAAGACAACCTTTAAACAGGGAATTTCTGTGAATTCGTTTTTGTTAATGCTTGCCTTTGTCTCTATTTTGCATTTGTAGCCGTATCTTATTTTATGTCGTCTTGATACTAATCGCTTTATGCCTTATATGCATGTAATTGTATCTAAACCCGCTCTCGCCAATCGTTCATTTTTAGGTTGCGGCATCTCGCTGGCCAAACAAACCGCTCAGCGGCGCATCGTGGGTGGTGATGATGCAGGTTTTGGTTCGTTCCCATGGCAGGCCTATATACGCATTGGCTCCTCCAGGTACGTCACAAAGTTACCTTCTATTGCAGTGTATTAAAAAGTACGTTTTCCAGATGCGGCGGTTCCTTAATCTCTCGTCGCCACGTTGTCACCGCTGGCCATTGTGTGGCACGTGCCACGCCCCGTCAGGTGCACGTAACATTGGGAGACTACGTCATCAACTCGGCCGTGGAGCCGCTGTCCGCCTACACATTTGGTGTGCGTCGTATAGATGTGCATCCGTACTTCAAGTTTACACCGCAGGCGGACCGCTTCGATGTTTCCGTGCTGACTCTGGAGCGTACAGTGCACTTTATGCCACATATAGGTAGGTGATTTGATTTGGATTCGGATAAAGCATCGGTGCTTAGGCTCTCACATTTGCAGCGCCCATTTGTTTGCCCGAGAAAAACGAAGACTTTCTGGGAAAATTTGGCTGGGCCGCTGGTTGGGGCGCCCTCAATCCCGGCTCACGTCTGCGCCCCAAGACGCTGCAGGCTGTCGATGTGCCCGTGATTGAGAATCGCATTTGTGAGCGCTGGCATCGCCAGAATGGCATCAATGTGGTCATCTATCAGGAAATGATGTGCGCCGGCTATCGAAATGGCGGCAAGGACTCATGCCAGGGCGACAGCGGTGGGCCGCTGATGCATGAGAAGAATGGACGGTGGTACTTGATAGGTGAGTCTTCCCTTCGCCTACATATGTCCAAAACTTGTGCTCACAACTCTAACTCTAATATGTCAGGTGTCGTTTCCGCGGGCTATTCGTGCGCCTCACGCGGCCAGCCAGGCATCTATCATCGAGTGCCCTACACCGTGGACTGGATATCCTATGTCGTCGGTCTGACGGCAAATATTTAAGCTCACCACTGCCGCTACTCTCCCCTATCGCCCATTTATTTATTTTCACGTCACTCACTCACAAGTACTATATAGTAGTTTGCACCTGGATGCTAAACGAGCCACGTTTTGTAAATATCTTCTATATATTTCAAAGCTCTTAATATCTTCTTCGTTTTGTATTGTATTTATATTTGTATGTATTAAACTATATATCTGTATATGTACTATATATGTATATGTATACTATATATTGTAATCTCTAACAAATTAGCGCAGCGTTGTGTTCTTAAGGCACGAGGCTGCAACAAGTACAATGTACAATGTGCGCGCCAAGCTCTTTAGTATCTACGAAATCTATTTGTATCTGCAAGCATAGGCTGCTTATGTACTTCTGCAATACACAGTACACACGATTTTCAATTTAATGTTAATGTATAATTAGTCATATGCGCTGTTATGTAATTTTAAACTATTTATGAACTAATTCGTGTAAATAAATTATGTAAATGTTAAAATGCTATTCAGTAACGTAGTTGACCTTTATTGCGTGAAAACTCTTTCTGATTGGATTGTTTTTACTGCTTCATCGGCACTCGCGGCATATAGACAGCCTGATAGGGAACATTGGCCCAAGCAGCATGCTCAGCATCTGCATAATAGGCTCCGCCATAACGCGCCTGCTGCTCCATGACACGGAACAGAGTGAAGACCTCGTGGTAGATCTTGTAGAAAATCACTGAGAAACGGGGGGGATTTCTTAGTGAAAAGATTCCATGTTGTACTCATATAGTATTTACCCAAAACTAGGGCGAACACCAGCAAGCATAGCAGGAAATGGGACAAGTCTATGAAGAGGCCAGCTGTGGCGTAGAACACGCCCAAATAGAGTCCAAAGCCGAAGACGACGCCATGGTATATTAGCCAGGGATAGAGCAGCGCACTGGAGTCCTGCAAGGAACAGAAAATGAACTGAACTCCCATCCCACCCCAAATAGAAGTTGACGCCCGAACTCACTCTGGCCACACCAATGAGCAACAATAGGCTGACGCCCGTATTGATCAACGACAGTCCATACGCAATAGTGCTGAAGATGCCCAACACTGAGCGAACGAAAGGTCCGAAAAGTTCAAATCATTAGTTCATTATTAAGAGTACTTACAAGTCATCAGATACTGCTGCTCATTGCTGTGAGCGCCCTTGAGTAGCCAAGCGCTCACCAGCTCCTCAATGTCGGTCTGCATGTGCATGGTGAGCATGGAGCTGCAGAGGACTACGGTCGATATGATGACGCCCAGCCAACCCACAATGATGACGTTGTACTTGAGGTTCTGGCATTGAACGTAGGAAATGTTTGTGGAATGGCTTAGGGCCGAGACTACAGTGGCTGCGTTGGCAGGTGACGTTGCATTCGGTGTCATAGTTGCCTGTGTTTATAGTCGCGTTCACTTGCTAACAATGTTCTGAAGAGGGAGTCTCTCTTCCAGCTGTTTGTGTAATCCAAACAAAAAATAAAGGCAACAAGCAACGAGGAATGAACAACTGTTTGTGTTGTGAAGTGTCTTTGAAACTGACATTCACATCAATGTTAGCTTCGACATAACAAACAATTGTCTAGAACACAATTTGTTGTTGTTTCTTTTTCTTATTCCGAAAAAATAGCCCACACTTTTAGCCACTTTCTGATATGCTAATGCGCATTCAGCAATAATAAAGAACAAAATATTTAGAAAGTCGCACAAATGAAAGGGCAGATTAACTTTTTCTTATTGAATAGGTCTTCTAACCCAAATATGAAGCCCCATTCACGCACACATGTGCACGCCCATTCGAGAGATCTAGTTTATAGCTTTAAGGGAAACGATGCATACAAAAAGTACTACGTCGTAGCTGGTGTTTAAGGTATGTTTGTTTTTATTTTCGTTAATTGATAGGTTAGCCGATTGTGATTAGAAAATAAGTGCATACAATTTATTTCTTTTATATAATTTATCAAGGTAAAAGGAGGCTTTCTGACAAGCTCTCTATGTCTTCTACAAACGACACATACTATGTATAGAACAGAATACATTTACCGATTGATTGTTTTTATACTTCTTAGATCCGGTGTCTCAATGAAATCCCAAAAAGGTAGTTCCATTTATTTAATTGAACGTCGATAGCAGCATTTTTCGTTATTATACACTTCAGTGATCTGCTAGCCATAAGAAACGGTGTAAAAATTCTTTATTTCTTGCCTGATCGATCGCACACGTTTTCGCAATAAAATTAACACTACACTTGACTTCTCATAAATGAAAATAACACGCAAAAGATTTGCAGTTACTCAGATCAAGAAGTTATTTGATATCGAATCCATTATATATCGATTATATCCATAAACAGAAGACTGCTAGGAAAATGACAATTGACTAATTGTTATTTATTGTGTTGTGTGTCTAATGTAGAGAGAGAGAATCGCAATTTCCAAACAGTATCATTACAATAACTTAAGATGTGTGAAGTTAACTTTTTAACAGTATATTTAAGCATTGTTTATTATTTGTAGATTTGTGTTTTCGGAACGCATAGCTCTTCGCACGGCTCCAAATAGTTGAGTGCAAGCTGCAGATCTTGCAATTATGTCGCTCGCAAACAATTAAGCCAGAGTTGGGAAACATTTCCTGAGCAAACAAACACGCGGCGCCATTTCGTAATAATTAGTGAACTCGAGCAGCAGCAACACAAAGAGCAGCGCGTCTTCTGAGACCTCGGAAACAAGAACAGCGTCGAGAAGATGCCGCCACCAGAGCTGCGGAGAGCCCAACCAGTTGCCGCTAATTGCGAGATCTCTCAGATCCACGACAGCGCCTAGTTAATGGCACCAAGCGAAGCTCAGACGCAGTGTGATTCTGACGATCGGCGTGTGCGGTTGTTGCTTGAAGGCGGCGGCAACCACAGTACTTGTAATATCGGCGGCAGTAGCAATAATATCGCCCCTCTAACCATCTAACCATTTTTAAACTACGCGTCGTCGTCCGGGAGCCACCAAAGTCGCGTTGTGGAAATTGTAGATGTCATAAATGCTGCAGTGGCAGAGGCGTGCTTAAAATGTGTGAAACTCTTTGCGAGCTGGTACGTGTGGCAATATTAAGAATCTGTGCCATGGCACTGCCAGCTGCAGGTTCAACGGTTCGTCTGCAGTTGCAACTGTTGCAGAATTGTTGGCACAGTTATTATATAAAAATGATTAGTAGGCATGAGCACGGAACGTGTCTGTCTGGGGTTTCTATTTGTGTGTGCTGTTAACCCATTTAGTTGCGACGCAATGTGCCCAATAAGCAGCGACAATCGCAAAGTGAAACTGTCAGGTGGGGCACCAGTGCCAGTGCCCCAACATGTTCTTAATGCCAAGGACATGTCCGACCATCTAACGGTGCCAAAACTTTTACTCATGCGCCAAAGCCACCTTACGCCCCACACCAAAGCCCCAAGCCACCGAGCCAAGCACTTAAAGACGCGCCACAATACGAGTGACGACAGTAAAAGTAGAGCAGCAATAATAAGAAATCTAAGTAGAAGACGCCGAGACTTAAAATGGAAAAGCAGAAGATACCAGGCACAAAAAACACAGCGCCAAAGACGACATAAAAGTGAATAAGAAACTGTCATGCTTTCATTGGCACACCAACAACAACAGCAACAATAGCAACAACAATAGCAATGACAACAGATGTCGCCATTTGCTTTGTCCCCAACAAATTTAAGCACCCAGTAAATTCATAATTACGTATTAAACACATCAACATCAACTCCCTTGCAGCCATGTGCCGACTCTGACAGCGCTTGAGTGAGTGACACCTCCTGAGAAAAATGCAGCATCCATCATGCGATCTCCTCTCCCTGATCTGTCTCGGTCTCTGCCTGCTCTGCCAGCTGGACACCACACAAGCAAGTAAATGCAGCCACCTGTCAGTTTAAGTTATCTTTTTTATTTATATTCGTGCACAGTTTTTAATTCCTAAGTTCTAGCTTCACTTCTTTTTTGTGGAATTGTGATTGATCTGAGGATAGAGTGACAAATATAAATTAAATTAATGTGTAAACACGTTTGGCTTACAATCTTGAAATAATCTCTGTGGCTTCACGTTAATAAGCATTTCATTGAATTTATAGACATACTTAATTCACAATATACTTGTATATTTTGATATGATATAAAATTCCAAATGCACGTTCTGAGTTCTTGTTTTTGATAAAACCTATTTGTTATTAAAATAAGTGCTTGGTTAATGCAAGAGAATACAACTGCATACAAAGCTTACCCACTTCCATAATAATAATTGTCGTTTACCTCTGTATGTTGGATTAAGGTTTACTTATTACATACTCAAAATATCAATCTTTGGAAGCCTCAGTTCCAGAGTACGCTCTGCCTGTGTGGTCTCTTATTAAAAATGTCAAACTGTCGCGTTTTAAGCAAAGCACACAAAAATTAATTATAATTGCAATAAATCTCTGGGAATATTTGTTTTATTTTTAGTTCGTTTCTTTCTAGCTTAGTACTACGTACGGAAATACTCAAACCTTCAGTTACTAAGTTTTTCATAAATTTAAGAACAGCTGCTACCTCAACCTTTATATGCCATTGTACTTAGAACGGCTTCTGCTTATAAATCTTCGTAAGCAATTTGTAAATCTGTCGTTGGTGTTGTCTTTACCCGCTTTCCACTTTCTTTAATGGCGTTCTACACACAATCCCCTGTTGTTTTAGAAATTCCCCTATTGTATTTTTGGTAGATTATTTTTTTAGTGTTAGTTATAAGCTTTTTAGTAGAAGTTATAAGCATAGTTGTAGTAAAATAAATCACATGCTTTCTCTGGCTTTATAGGCTTACTTAACTCCTTGCTGGGCGTACCAGCCGAGTGCGTCCATCAGAGTGGCGTCTGGCCATGTAAGTTGTCGTTCTCCTGCTGGTTGCAGGGCGGAAAGCATGCCAAGGGCTGTGGCAGCAACAAGTGGCTCTTCTCCTGCTGCATAAGTGAGCCGCAACATGCGTCGCCATTGGACAATTTTGTTGGCAGTGCTTTCAACGAGTATGGCAAGCTAAAGCTGAGCCTCAACAGTTTACCAAAGCGCGTCATGTTGCGCCGTCGCGATGACAATGAGTTGTTTGCTAAGGTTGGTACATAAGCTGAAAATATTTACAACATTATAGATTTTATCTTTATGTACAGCCGGAATGCGGACTGTCACGTACACAGCAGAATACGCTGCAAAAGCGCATCATTGGCGGCCGGCCGGCTCAATTCGCGGAGTATCCTTGGCAAGCGCACATTCGAATTGCCGAGTACCAATGCGGCGGCGTGCTCATATCAGCGAACATGGTCGCCACGGCTGCTCATTGCATTCAGCAGGCGCGCCTCCAGGACATCACAGTGTATCTGGGAGAACTCGATACGCAGAACTTGGGCCACATTCACGAACCACTGCCAGTGGAAAAGCACAGTGTGCTGCAAAAGATTATTCACCCGCGCTTCCAGTTTCGCATGACACAGCCAGATCGCTATGACTTGGCTCTCCTCAAACTAGCCAGACCAACGAGCTTTAGGTGAGTGAGTTTGTTTATCCAAAACATAATGTATCATTAATTGCTCGTTATAGCGAACACATTTTGCCGATATGCTTGCCTCAATATCCCATTCGATTGGTTGGACGCAAGGGTCTGATAGCTGGGTGGGGCAAGACAGAGGCCCATCAGGGACACGCTGGTACCAATATGCTCCAGGTAGCCAGTGTGCCAATCATATGTGAGTAGCAGGGGTTAGCAGCCTCTTCGCAAGCAAATATTAGATACCAGTATTAGAACAGAAATTCCATAAAACAACGTCTGCACATACATTTGATGGTGGAAATATTTGCCACAGTTGAAACAAATATGGATATCTCATGCTTGCTTTAATGAGATTGAAATCTAATATAGTACTTAATTAATATAGTTATAATTTTTTTTCGACTACAGCCACCTTAGACTGCATCCGTTGGCACGAAAGCAAGCAGATCAATGTGGAAATTTTCTTGGCAGATCATTTCTGTGCGGGCCACTCGGATGGCCATCAGGATGCGTGCTTGGGTAAGCTACTTGCGTGTTATAATAGTGATGTATGTAGAAAAAAAGTAATATCACTAAGCATTTAATCAAGTACCAAGTATACAATAAATAAGCCGGTACGGTTTTCTGCAAAAAAAAAAAAAAAAATGCGATAGCGGCAAACATCGGAATGTTCGATATTTACGTATTGCTTTCAATTCGAAAATAAGTGCATCTTTCGTTGGTCACACCTTTTAACATTTTGAAGCTACGTTGACGTAATAAACAAATACATAAGTCCATACCGGCCGCAAATAACAAAGCAAAAGTAATGCTTAAATCCGTTGCGAGGGTAAATGATACAATTTTTTGGTTCGTTAAAAGATTTAAGAAAGATCAAAAATAAAAAATTAATAAACACTTTGTTTATTAACTACAGATTTACTTTAGGTTTTACATTTTTGGTTTGAAATAACAGTCTTAGCAAAATACGCATGTATATTATATTTATAGCATACTTTTAGGCTGTCATTGATATTGCACTGTTAAGGTTTCTCTGTTAAACCCTGCGATGATTGATTTCCATTGGTGTGTTGCAGGGGACTCGGGCGGCCCGCTGGTGATCAAGGAGCGCGGTCGGTTCGTACTCGTGGGAATAACCAGCGCCGGCTTCGGCTGTGGAGTCGACCATCAGCCGGGCATCTATCACAATATACAAAAGACTGTCAAATGGATACAGGACGTGGTGGCACACAACGAGCTGCAATTATAGGGAGTTATGAAGCACCTTTATCTTAAATGTCTAGCACTGCAGTCAGCAATCTCATTAGTTTATGACTCGTAACTAGTATTAAGCGATAGCCATGTGCAATACCCATTATTACATTTACATTTAATATAGACAATTAAATTAAAAATGATAAAGACTGCTATTTATTTTGACATCGGCGTCGATGTCGATGACGATGTCGATGTCGATGTGGGTGCCCGACCTTGAACGCATTGCTATTGCTATTGCTGTTTGCTAAGTTCGGAAGCTTTACCAAATCGGGTTGCACATTTGGCTGCCAACGCACATGCCAATGCTAAAGTTACGCACTTTAGCAATTCGAATGTGGCTAGAAACGTCGGCGAAATCACACGTACTAGCTCGCGCTTTCGGAGCCGGCAAGCTTTGTTTTGGAATTGTTATGTCATTGCGTTTTAGCCTATTTACCGTTGACGGCTTTGGCTCGAGCGTAAATGGCACAAGCAACTGCATTCAACTTGGCAGCGGAGACGGCAAAGCTAACACATTAATCATAATTTGTTCATTAAACACATAAAGCCGTTGGTAAAAAGCACTCGAATTGTGCAATATCTTCAATTTTAAATTTGTTACGCTGTGCACTTTGTTTTGATTACTCTCATTGTTGTTGTTTACCTTTTTAGCCCTCGCAATTGTTCAATTTTTGTTCCCAGCTATCAAAATTGGCGTAAGCCTCGTTTGTTATTTTTAGTTTCTTAAGCTTCGCATGCTGTGACACAATTTTCTTGTATTCAGAGTTTGTTGCCTCAGTCACAATTTTTGCTTGAACTGTGGCTAGTGTCAATTGAAGTGCCAGAGTCTATTGTTTATTAAATCAATGTCTATTAATTGCATGTGGGCAGATGCTGCCTTCAATAGTTTCCATGAACTGGCAATGAAATATCAATAGCTATAGTTTTTAGCTACACACGCATGCTTTCAAGATACACCCAGAGAAAAATAAAAAACTGAAACAATATTTCGAATGTCAGGTGTTTTGTCATGAACGTAGAAATCCATGCATCTGTACCCTTTTGATTTTTTAAATTTAATCATAAAGAACAAAATGCATCCCCTATTTATTTATGTTAATTCATGCTCTGCAATGTAAACAAATATTTTTTTTCCACCTGGTGTCCATGTTGCATATTATTTGAGCGACTGTATTATTGAAGCGTGTATTAACGAACACATTGTGCGACTAAGAATAACCAAGCGTTAAACATTTTGATTGGGTGCCAAGGCATTGGTGAATAGAATTGATTAAGTGTGCAAGTAATTAGTTAAATTTAAGATGCTCTTTTCTCTGGGTGTAGCTAGCTTTGTGAGCTTTTCACGCATCAGAAAAACTCGAAATAAGATGTTTTATTTGCTTGGCTTTCGCTTGACTGCTCACCTGGTTTTTCCTGTTGCAATTTGCTTAAAACGCTAAAATTGTTACTGTGCGCATTGTTTAATGAAGAAAAAACAAAGTTAGCGCTCTTTGTGTACATATATGTATGTATGTTTAATAAAACAAAGCTGGCAACATAAATAATCAACAATAACAAATTTGTCGTCTTGAGTTGGCGCTGCAGCTGCATACCAGCATTTGCAGCAGAAATCGCAGTTAGGAAGTCTTCCTCCATGTAATATGTAGTGTTGTTGTATTTGGCAAAACTCGACATTAGTCACAACAACATGCAATTTCCACATTTGTTGCCCAGCAGCTGCTCTCAAAGCCTCTGCGTATGCACACACAGTCGCGGTCGCGGTCGCGGGCGCAGTCCCAGTCGCACTTTTCACTTTCGATTTCATGCGAGCATAGCAAGTTGTGCCTCTCCCCAATGGGCTCACACACACACACACACACTCACACACGCACACACATACGTTTTGAATAGACAGACGCTTTGGCGCTTATTACTCAATAGCGGACTGAGCTGTACGGCGCAGCGCTGCTCTGCTCTGCACATGCGTGCGTGTTAGTGAGCGTGTTTATGGGCTTTTGATTTTGAATTTGTCAGCCAACTGTTTATTAAGTGTCTTGTCGTTACCGCCAACTGTTCGCGCCACGCAAAAATCGGCGACAACAGTCCGCCATCGTTTCGTGAACACCGCGGCCGCTTCAGACGGGCGAGTGCAACAACGAGTAAAGCGTAAACGTAAAAGGAAAAGTGTGACAAAACACAACAGAGAAAAGTATAGCATAAGGTTACAAATATATACAAGTAGTATACGAGTACATACAAGTACTATATACTGGAGCAGAGCAGGCCGAAGAAAATGTCAGCCAACGCAATTATGAGTGCAAAATATTCACATTCAAATTGCCCAAAATTTTAAAACAACTGTCGCGACGCGCCTCGTTGCACGCTAATCGTGCTGCTGTTGCTGCCTGTTTTTCTTATATTTAATTCAATTTGCTCGACGGCTATGCAAACGAGCCCACCGACGATTATTCAATCGAAACCCGCGCTGGTACGTGAAGTGAGCAAAGTGATTGCAGCAATCGGCAAAACAAAGTGCAAAAGTTAAAAGAAAACCAAAAACGCGACGCTCTGAAAACGAAAGTGTATTGCAAGATGCGGGCTACACGCGCAGTTGCATTGTCGTCTCTGTCGTCACTGGCGTCGCTGTTTGTCGTCATCTGCCTGCGCTTTAGCCTGGCCAGCTCCAATTACAATTCGGTATATAACGATGCGATAACGCCCGAGCTAAAGCAGGCCATTAGCAAGGACTTGCCTAAGCAGGCCAAATTCTTCGACGAACTAGACTGTAAGTACGAGTTTCTGCCAGTTTGTTGCCTAAGTCTTTCGTATGAGTCAGCAAAATTGCGTGTGTTATGCAATTTGCATACTTCCACGTATATGCATACCCGTCTTTGCTGCAACCTTGAATATCGAATAGTGTATTTGTATTTGGTGTCAAGTTCATTAGGTTCGGCTGGTTGTGAGTCACGCATGACTTTGGCTTTCTATTCGCGACTTATTTCAGACTAAATGCAGCGAAAGTGTGCAAATCGCGCGATCTTTTATTAACCCTTTTGTGTTTCTGTACATGTTCTTAGCGCCCATCAAGCCCATTTATCTTGTTAATGTGGTCCGGCGCAATAAAATTGGACTTTCGAAATGAAGTAGTAACAGCAAAAAAGAAGAGTTGCACGCGCTAATGCTGGTTGTCGGCTCAAACACGAAAACACACCAATAAACGCTGGATATGTTAACAACTTCTTTAGATAGCGGTAACCCAGACAGCAGCCAACCAACAAGCTATTAACATACGCGTATTCTGCCGAAATTGGGCAACCAACTGACGCGCAAAACTCAAAGATTTTTACATTTTTTTTCTCGACTGCATTGCTGAACAAAAGAAAGCTGTTAAGGCACAGGTCGCCCATCGTCATCATGGAAAATTTTGTGCGGCCATTAAAGTAATTAATGATTAAAAGCAAACCCCAAAAATTATTACAAATTACACACACAGCCACAAATCCGGCCAGCAGCCACCAATAACAGCAACAGCAACAAGTCCACATCTCTAGCAACCACATGCTGCTGTTGGTGGCAACACAAAACGAGCGCAAATTGCTGCACAAGTTCAATGGCATGCAACACATGTTTGAAAAATCAACAAAAACAACAACAGCAGCTTAAAGCAAGCAAAAAAGCAAAAGTGATAGACATACACATATAAATACATACATTCATACGTATAAGGGTGCACTCTCGCACTCACAAATATACCGACAAAAACCCCCAAGCGAGATGGAGTACGACACATTTGCTGGAAACTCAGAAAAAAAGCTGTAATTATCTTTAACAGCAAGTTATCGGTGGCAAAGGGTGCAGCTTAAAGTTTATCAACATACGTATTTGCATGCACTTTTACAAGTATATTTTCCATATCAGAATCGTGTGAGCATCACTATAATATTTTGTATCAATTTAAATCACCTGGAACATCAACAGCGATATAGTTGTAAACCAAAATATTCAGTGAAAAACTGTTCACAATTTATTAAATGTATGAAATTGTGGGATATAGGTATTCGATATTCTTGATCAGTGGATAGAAACATGACTGGTGTCTGCTTATATAAGAGCAAAGATTTCAAAAAGTCGAGCTAACACGTTATCTAAATACAAGTCGAACATATTTATGATGAAAAGAATTTAATAACTTGATTTTTTTGGCAGTGTATAAAAATATATTCATGTATATGCTTTTGTATGTATGTATGCTTTGCCAACCTAATAGCAACACCAAAAATTATACTCCCTGAAACTTGACTTGGGAATACACAAATATACATACATATATATAAATAGCATCAGAAATAATAAGCAATAATTACAGAGAGTGGTGAGGGCATTGGACAAAATAAAAAACATACCAAATCAGCCGATTCCAGTATTGGATTGTTTTGTATATTAGTAATATGAGGGCTTTTCCAGAAGTTTTACTGGCTGTTTCATGTATGTACATTGTTAAACTTAATATCAATATATCATTAAAACAAATTCGAAATTACAATAAAAATAAATTACTGCATTATTGGGCATCAAATCTTCCATTAACTTGAAGCACACAAATTCCTAATAATGCAGAGTATTTACGCTTTTATAACATTTATGATCACCACGCTTACTTTTGCACTTTATTGGTCCTTCCATACCCATTTTAACGAAGAAGCTGAAAGTTCAATTGTTTGAAGCCGGCAGCATCTGCTCAACTTTTTAGAAGTCTCTTCTAACTGCGCTTATATATAAGCTTTACTGTGTCTTACAAAAAACATCATCACAAAGCTTTTTATAACTTTGCATTTGGTCATTCCACGAGGTATGCCAACATAATTTTCAATTTACAATTTGCTTCCTTTATCTTATAAACAGCAAACATTTCATACAAAAACGTTTTCTAGGTCCAATTGTTTGTGTGTTATCTGTGTTTGTTAAATATAAAATTCTGAGGGTTTGACATCGTCTGATCTTTATTAGGAATATAGCTAAAGCACACCAAAAGCAATACTTTTCAGCTAAAATCTATAGTATTTGTAATACTTGCTAAAATTCTACAGCAAGTAAATACATTTTCTTTTGTTATTCACAAAAATCTGCAAACCAATGTAGCCTTGAAATTAATCTTCCTATGCCGAAGATATACTCTGTATGCATACTATCTTATCATTCCCAAAATACAATTTAGTTTTATCAATTGTGATATTTTTAATCATATTGTTTCTATGAAAGTTTTACGTCTAACCTGGCACAACCTAATGTGACTTCAAAGAGACCAGAATGTTTTAAATTGTTTTATATATCCGATAAATTATATTGCTAAGCATGTAATTATTTGCAATTATTTAGATTCAGTGGGAATGTTTCAAAATATTTCGCGCCAATTTGCTGGCAACATGTTGTTAAAGCACTGAAGTGGCTGGAATTGGCAGTAAATTTGGTGTTTGAGCCACACTTAAGGTCAATTTGCAAAGCTACTGCCACACTCTTGAATTAAAAAAATCAAATGCCAGAGCAGAAACATTTCCAATGCTTAAGCCAAAAGTTGAGTCTCTCTCCCGGTGGCTTTCGACTGAAATGCCAAATCTCTCTGCTCTTTACACTTTCAGGCGCTCTTCGTCTTCGCTCTCGGCCAAGACATCGGCAGAGCCGCGACGGTGGCTTTTGTTTGCTCGTCGCAGCTTGAACACAAGTTGGCCACGAAATATTGGCTTAGTTCTGAGTTGAATTTCCCGACGTGCGGTCGCTCTTGTTACGCGTCTGCATTGCGAGGCGTAGAAATGAGCAAGCTTCATTATATGAAATAAAAATTAAAAATTTTCTTTTCGTGCGCCAAGTGCCGTGAAAATTGTTACCGTTGCTGTTGTCGTTGCGCATGCGTAACTCAAACGAAAGCCAGCGGCTGAAATTAAAAGTGAAATCCTTGGGCATGGCGAAATATGATTTAATTTAATGCAAGGATTGTGCTAATAATTGTGCTCAATAAATTCTTCAAGTCAACTCAACTCAATAAATACCACAACAAAAAAAAAAAAAAAGAAAGTGCTCTGTATTAGCAAGCGAAAACAATAAGAGCAGTGCGGAAAGTGAAAGTCCGCTCCTCGTCAGGAGTCAGTCGGTCGTTCAACGTAGCCATCATCGCCACTCACCTTGCTCTATCGTGTGTTCAACACACACACACACACACACTCACATATACTGTCAAAGTAACCACAATAATGTCATTGTTGCGTGGCAGAAGAAGACATTCGTGCAAAAAGGACACCTGGCTGAGAATAGGTCAGGTGTTATATCTAGTGTTTGCGCTGGCGCCCTACTCCCTAGCCCTGAATTATCCCAGCGCCCAGCAAGAACATGACATGCTCATCCTGGACGCGCTGTCGCGTCGCAGTGGCACGGGCTACTATGGCGAGAACTCCGTCATGGAGATGCTATCGAGAAGTATAAATAAAATAGAACAATCTAAACCTTTCCCATCGCGCTGTTTATGTAATTTTCTAAACGAAATTAACGCAATTTTCTTGGTCTTTTACAGTGATCCCACAATCGTGCCGCTTTCGTGGCCACAAATTCGAGTGCGGGCTGTCCATCTCCTGCGTCTTGGGCGGCGGCAAGCCGCTTGATCTCTGCTCCGGCGGCATGATTTGGTCATGCTGCGTGGACAAAGACCTCGACGCAGAGGACAATGCAGGGCATGCGGCGCCGGTGAACAATACAAGTAAGTATCGAGCCAACTCAGCCCATTGGTGAAGCAAACAAAACGAGGGCCAAACACAATGCAGTGCCAATTCTACTTGTAAAAAGCATTTCGCCTTTGCCTTTTATAAAAGCTATAGCCATTGTCATACCCATTGCCAACTTCTTTACCATTCCGTTGCCCTTTCCTACCCCTTTCACTGCAACTTGCGAGCATGGGCTTGCATTTGTTTCTGCTTCTCCTCGAAATTGCAAATTGCTGCGCTTTCTGTTATGTAATTCGTGTATAATAGCGCAATAAATTAGTTCGCATTTCGAAAATGACAAACAATTGCTTCGCCGGCCCAAAACAAACACACACAGATAAACAGAGTTGTAGTGCCCCAAAGGCTGCTTAAGACATACAACAATTCGGTTCGTGTGCCAAAGCCGCGCATGCGCAAATTTGTGGGTGCCAATTTATTAGGCAGGCGTAAAGCGACTGCTTTACTATAAGAGAGAAGAGTTTTTTGTCAGTCAAATGTAGATCAAAATACTGAAAAATATATGGAATTAGCCAGAAAAATACGCACCAACACATAAAATATTGAAAGTTATTCACTAAAAATTAAACTTCAAACATCGTTGCAAAGTTCGGTAATGTAGATTATTCTCTTGAGAGTAAAGTGCTTAAAAATAAATATTAGCTATTCTTTAAAGACTATTTATGCCCGAGTTGTCTATATTAGCAAATAAATACATTTAAAGAGAAAAATTAAATTTGAATAAGTAAATGATCTAGCTTCTCACACTATCTGCTGTGTAATTACATATTAAGTTAAAAGAATTACTACACCATTGCCCCTTTTTCGCAATTTTCCTAATAGTATCCATTTGTATTTGTTCAAGTATTTCAAATATGTATAAATACGAGTGACAAATATCACCACATATTACAAAACAATTAAATGCATTTCCAGTGGCATACCAATTTTTCAATTCAAGAGAATTGTTGAAAATATGTTATAATATTTCCTTTCAATCCAGCTTAATTAGATATTGCAATACAAATTTTAAACTTTTAGTTCAAGATAACACATTTCAAGTGATTAGTTTTTTGATTAAGCTGACAAATTAAGTTTATATCTAAGACATGTATTTTAACTTCAAAGAAATCGCGAATAACCTCTTTTTAATCAATCTACAGAGTTATTGTTAACAGATGAGTTTTACAACTCTCTGAGTCTTCCTCTGTAGTTTTAGTTATACTCGTAAGTATTTTCTTGTTAGCTTCAGTTTCGAGCGCTCAGTTAATGTTTTTGGGCATTCATTTACCTTGAAGTGCATTTGGTGTGAAAAGTTCCGCAATTGGTATTGTAAATTCAATTAAGTAAATCAAAGCATTTACTATATATATAGTTGTATGCCACTTATCTACACACACACACACACACACATTTATATACACACATGAATTAGGCAGTCTTTTTTTAGTAACCGCGCAGCAGTCTTGTGTGCGCTCTGGCATTTTGATGTGCTCTGTTTATTTTTCTAGACCTCCTTACTAGCCTGGCTCACTATGCATGTAACAACAAGAGCAACAAAACAACAACATTACAACATAATTCTTGAAGAAAAACAGAAAACATGGTACATTTCGGCGGCCAAAAAAGAAAACACACGCACATTATTTTGAAGGCGTAGGCCCCAGCAGAAGTCGTTTTCTTTGCGATGTGCTTAGCAGACCTATTCTGGTTAGTAGGCAGCTCAGAGTTCACTTTCTTTTGCGCAATGTCGTACTCTTTTTCGGCTACTTCTCGCTCAAGTGTAAAATTTCTTGCCACGACATCCAGACTGTCGGACTGCGAGACTACCAGACTTCCAAGGTTCCCAAGAAAAAGCAGTCTGAAGTGGGCGCTTGCGGAAATAAACGAAGGTGAACGTTTTTTGCATTTAAAAGTGAAATTTCCTTTGTCTCAAATCGAGATTTGCCCCTGCAAACTTCAGCTTTTATTTGGTTTTGGTTTGTTTTTTAATTTATTTGTTTCTGTTGCATGCAATGCGCCCCACAAAATGTGGGAAAAATCACAGCGTAAAAGTTACAGCATTTTCGTGAGTGCCCAGAGACGAGCAACGAAACTCGGACAACCAATGGAAAGTGTTAATGAAGATTAAATTTTCTGGGTGCTCTTGTTGCCTGCACGACGGTGTCTCACTTTTGTTATCGTTGTTATATTTGATTTGTTTGAATAACGTGCGAAAAGTTATCTCATAGCCGCTGGTTCGGCATTGTCTTTACTAGTATTTTCTTGGGCGTTTGTCGTCACGTCTCGTCACCAAAATAGCGGCTCAACTGTCCAGCCACTGTTTTGTGACATAATAAAGTCGTGCTGGTGGCTTAATTACACCTTGGTCGTTTGTTTATTATTGCATATTACTTTGTATACTCTTATTTTTGTCGCCGTTAAGGTTTGCTAATAAAATTGTTCACTCCACTGTGACTAAGTGAAAAGTTTCACAGCGAAAGTTTAACCCCAGCCAAGGGTCACACATATGCTTCCAAATGCACGCTAAACCCATTGCTGTAAATAACAAAAAGTGCCAAATCATGAACGAAAATTCTCACACAGGTGACATAATACACTTGCATGACATTTATCCCGACTTGGCGCCGAATGCCAACAAGCATCATCATCATCATCATCAACAACAACATCAGCAATCGCAGCAGCAACAGCACATCGGTCTGTCGGCAGCATCGTCCGTGTCCTCTTCTGCTCGGCCAGCGCCCTCGCACTACAACAATCATGCCTACACACATGGCTCGTCACTATACACCACGAAGCGACCCCATTATAGTGGAACCGGAAATCCCTACAAGCCCATTCCATCTGCGCACAGACCTCCATCGTCGAGTCTGAATAGCTGGGAGCATGATTCGAATCATTTGGGCTTGGGTGGTATTAATGGCATAACGAATCATGTGGATGGTTTCTTCGATGTCGATGGGCCAGCCGAGAACGGTCTACCACCTCCAGCACCACCGTCATCTGCTCACGATGCACCACAGCCCTTCGCCGTGGGCAATGTGCTCGATTTAAATGCGGGCGAGGCAGCCGATGAGTACACGAGCAGCGCCTATCGTCCAGTCCCGGGTACTACCAATCACATGATTTCTATAAACATATACTCCTGTCTTTCTCTCTCTCTCTCATTCTCTTTATATCTTTCTCAACAGCACTACTATATAAGCAGATAATTTGTTTATTTTTTATATTTTGTAAATATTGTACTGCACAGCAATCACGCAAACATCTACTCTGACACACACACGCACACTCACTTTCTTGTAGCATTTTGGCATGTTTTGTTTTTCTTTTTATTGTCTGGCGCACTTTGATTTATGAGTTGCTCTTTTTCCATTTGCATTTCACCATAATCTCAACTAATGGCGCGCTCTTCTTCTATCAACAGGCTGCGGCGAGGTCTTTGCGCGTTCCAATCGCATCGTGGGCGGTCACTCAACGGGCTTTGGCTCACATCCCTGGCAGGTGGCGCTCATTAAGAGTGGATTTCTCACGCGCAAGCTGAGCTGCGGTGGTGCACTGATATCCAATCGCTGGGTGGTTACAGCGGCCCATTGCGTAGCCACGTAAGTAAACGATCCTTTATTGAATCGGAACCAGAAAGTCAAATTGAAATTAAGCCTTGCGATTCTTATAAAATACAATTAGTGGAACACTTTATATTTATAACAATCGAGAAATTACAATGTTTTCAAAAACCAATGTTCTCGTTTTAATTGTGAACATTTATTTGCATCTCGAAGTTTCGGGTCTTTTCTATCTTTGAGTTTTTATTTTCTGTTTGTTTCTATCTATGCTCCGATTCTGTTTTTTGAGCACAATTCTTTCAGTGAATTATAAATTCTTCTTGCATTACAGCACCACAAATTCCAACATGAAGATACGTTTGGGAGAGTGGGATGTGCGCGGTCAAGAGGAGCGTCTGAATCACGAGGAGTACGGCATTGAGCGCAAGGAGGTGCATCCACACTATAATCCAGCAGATTTCAAGAACGATGTGGCGCTCATACGCTTGGATCGCAATGTGGTGTACAAGCAGCATATCATACCCGTCTGCCTGCCCCCACCAAGCACAAAGTTAACTGGAAAAATGGCAACAGTAGCGGGCTGGGGACGCACGCGGCATGGCCAGAGCACAGTTCCTTCGGTGTTGCAGGAAGTCGATGTTGAGGTCATATCGAATGATCGGTGCCAGCGCTGGTTTCGTGCAGCCGGCAGACGAGAGGCGATCCATGATGTCTTCCTCTGCGCTGGCTATAAGGAGGGTGGACGTGATTCCTGTCAAGGGGATTCAGGCGGCCCTCTCACGTTGACGCTGGAGGGGCGAAAAACGCTGATCGGCCTTGTCTCCTGGGGTATTGGATGCGGGCGCGAGCACTTGCCCGGCGTCTACACGAATATTCAGCGCTTCGTGCCTTGGATCAACAAGGTCATGGCCAATGACAACAATACGTAGTGAGGAGCAGACCTGTGGGGGTCTATACTCCAACAAATTGGAAGACTGCAGTCACCGCTCGAGTAGTTCTGCAGTTACAAATGTGCATGTCGGCCTGTTCCGGCTGCAATTGCAATTGGCATCACAGTCCGTTGCCTGGCCATGTGATTCCTCTACCACTCGGGGTTGCTAGTGTTTAAGCCTATAAGTAGTACTTGCACTAAGACGCATAAACGTAATTGCATGTACTTATCTTGTATTTATTGTGTTTCAGTTCGATTGAGTTGTTCCAACCGATTCTAGCGTGTAGAACGTCTCCCATTGATATTTATTGTATTATTTAAAAAAAAAAAAATTTTTATTCTATAAATAGCTCTCATTATTTTTTAACAACGAAATAAAAAACAAAAATATATTAATAATAATATTAAAGGAATATTTTAATTCAACTCAAGTGTATGCAGGATCTACTTTTGAAAACAAGTTGACTTGAAACGCCGTAGCTTCTACTATAATTAGTTGCATCCAGACGATATTTAGACACCGTTTAGATCAGACGACTATATGTTATAACAGGAATCCCATAATGTGAGTTCGTTTCTGGAGTGTGACTTGGTTTGAATTACTACCATCATGCATATAGTAAAGCATGATTACAAAATTACACAAAAATTCTGTAGGAGTGGTCTTATATCTAATAAATGTCAATTTGTTGTGTGATGGTCTAATCAGCAGGCCAATTCAGCAGAAACAAAATATTATAGCTCTCATAGAAATGATATGATTATCATAGATTTTTTAAATACATGCTTGGTGATGATGCATCGTTTTGTCATTGTTGTTGTTGCTCTGGATCGAGTCCGTACTACTTGTAGATGTCAATGTGTGTGTTATATATTATTTGTTGAATTTTTATGTTAATCAATTATTAGACCCATATAGTCCATTACCTACATGTACATTTATCAGAAGCAGTTCTTTATTTTAATCCCTTAATGAAGCAAACATTCCCTTTGCGTGGCAACAGATTTCAACGAAAGACTTAAGCCACAAACTTGTTTCAAATGAACTAAACAAAATCTATTGCATACTTATCAGCGTGCAGAAAAACCAGCTGCGCACTCATTGAAATATTTTTTTGTTAGGCTGGCAGCACTGCGCGAGCTCAAATTCCAGCAACAACAGGTTCAAGCAAATATTTCTTTGTAAACAATGTAAGCGCTGGATAGGCATCCACAAGATGTCAACAGAAAAGAGTAAACAAACAATGATAAGAATAAAGGGAAAGTGAAAATGAAAATGTGAACGAAAGAGCTCTTTACCTATGCAGCGTTATTTGCTCCCCATGTCTTGATCCTTAACACAACGGGCCGAGGGAACAAGTGCATGGTGCCTGTTCAGAATCTCTAATGACTTCATTTCCGCTCCTCATAGTGGCTGCACACAAAAACCAAATACAACATCAGCCATAAATAAATTTGTGTGGATTGCATCAGAGCCCGAAACAAATAGAGCCCTAAATGTAAACAAAGTGGCAGCCTTTTAAAGACCAAACACTTAATTAAGCGCTTTCGTTGGGCTTATCAGCCGAGATGGCTATCAACAAACAGCAGCATCATTATGTGCGATTGTGTGTCTCTGTTTTTTCCTCTCTCTGTGACCAAACACACGCTCTTATCTCTTAGCATCCACAATTGGCAACTACCATCCACTTCCTGCACACTTGGCCGCTTCTGCTTTCAGTTGTAATTGACCAAAGAACTTGCTACAACTTGTCGTTTGGTCTCAGTTGGTGTGGAGCAGCGCCAGTGTCAAGGTCTCTCAAGTTCAAGAAACGGCTTAAGACGCCACCACATCGAAACGCGTTATATAGTCGGTATCGCTAATCGAATCTGTTTGCTTGGTCCCCTTTTGCTCGCTGTCTTCGTAACGTTTTTGAAACAAAGCTATCGATACTGGAAATGCTATGAGAGCCGCGTTTTTTTAATATCTCTGTGCATAGATCATAACTCATTTTTAGTTATCTGACATTTAATGGTTTGTTGATTTGAATGATTTGTTGATTACTTGTACCTATCTGTGCGACTTCTTGTTTGCCTCTTGTTGAAAGTCAGCGACGTAAAGTGTGTATAAAAAACAATCAACAAAGAAGAACTGTTTTATTAATAATAAGTAAATTGTATCCGATTAATCTCAGTTGGAAGTAAACAAGAAATGCAATGCAAAGCTGCGATTTTTCAAAAAAGAAAGTGCAGTGTGTATTTGATTAAAAATAAATTCAAGAATCCGAAAGCTTGTACGCATGATAACAGTATGAAGAACTTTTAAGAAATATTAAAAATTGTATAATAAGTGCTCTAATATGGTTAGAGACAAAAATTGCTTCATTGGGGGACCACAATTAAATTCAACAAAGACGGTTGAGCTGACCGTGTGATGTAATGCGAGTATAATAATAAAAGAATCTGCAATTTAAATTGATTTGGTCTATATTGAATGCCCCTCAATACGATTGACTATTCGAATGTATTTTGAGAATCATGTAGAAATTCATAAATAGCTTAAATCCAGAAAATGTATAATTTGCCATTCGAATTCAGAGCTTGTAAATAAATTATCAGCCCAGGAGACATGCCCTTAACTAGTCAAATGAACGGTTTACTCTTAATCAATGCAATTAAGTTTTGTTGTGCGTTGTAACAATTTATGCAATTCTTATCACAAATCTGGTTAAATGTGAAACAAAAAAAAATTAATTTGATACAACAGGTACCACACGCTAGCGCAGACATTCAGCGAAGCGATAGTAAAGATTGACTTTCTTAACCTGAAGACGTGCATAAATTAAAACACAAACAAAAGCCAAGCTTACTTACTTACATATGCATATGCATATTGTGTGAATGCGAGCTCGAGTGTGTGCGTGTGTGTGTGTGTGTATATCTACTAACCAAGAATGGCACGGAGGAGCGACAACAACGTCGAACAAGCTGCCGACTAACTCATTTGCACCACAAAAAAAAAAAACAACAAAAATAAAAAAGCATTAAAGAAAAAGCTAGCGCGACTTTGGCTTCTGCTTCTTGCTATTTTAATGTGAAAGCGCTGTTAACCCCAAACCCCAAACTACGGGCCCCGTTCCCCGCCACCAAATGTTATGACCGCGCTCGCTCACAAATGCCGCCAATCAGCTGTGGCGACGCGTCGTGAGAGAGTGTCCAAGTCCATATGCGAGTGTGTGTGTGTGTGTGTGTGTGTGCGTATATGTTAGTGTGTATTCATTTGAATAACCAGAGCTAGAGCTTTGTTGTTGCTGTTGCTGTTGCTGTTCTCGCCGCTATTGCTCGGCAATGTGTTGGCCTTAATGGAAACCGTTATGCGCGTAGCAGCGTTGGTCGTAGCATTCAAACGTTATGGCCGGCCAACCAAGCTGTTAACTAGCGTCGGCGTCAACAGCGACGGCGACGGCGACGGCGACAGTGGCAGCGGCAGTGGCAGCCTCAGCCTCAGCACCAGCACGCATGCGCACATGTGGAAGCTTCGCGCGTGCATTAGTGTGAACATGCATGTGAGTGTAGTACGTGTGTGTGTGTGTGCATGTAATAATTTTTGTTGCCTGTCTGCCTCCCAGTGGCTTGTTGTCTTCTACCAATTTTGCTTTGTGGTTCTTTAGCTGCGTCGCCACCGCAGCCGACGTCGACGGTGACGCTTTGGCGAAATCTCAGCAGCGTGGCTTTGTCTTTGGCCTCGCCAGCCATCGCCTGGTGTGTGGATCTTTTGTATGCGCGTTTCTGTCCAGACGTGCGCACCTCACTCGCTCGCTCGCTTATTCGCTTGCTCGCTAACTGGTCGTCCGCTTCGGTTGTTCGTTCTTTGGCTCGATCTTTGCCAGAGCTCCCAGCACCAGCACGCTTTGGTGCGTTTGTTTCCCCGTGTGTGCGTGTGCGTGTGTGTGCGTTTGTAGAACCTTAGTTATTTCTCTTAAATTGGCCAACAGCTGAAGTCAATGTGTTCATAATTTATTACAAGTGCAATTTTTTTCGTGTGCCCATTATTGGTAGGAATCGGAAAATCAAGTGTAAGTGACGCAGGAAAAATCAAATAAACGATTTGCATAAACATTCAATGCACAAACGAATGCAAACAATAGTTATAAAAAAAAAAACCTTGGGATGCCATTAACAAATATATTTATGTACAGATACACACATTCATAACAAAGCAACAACAGAGAATCGACGCAAAAGAGTGACAAACAAAAGTTAAGAAACCCATAAAAAAAAATTAATAAACACTATTCTTGCAGCAACACAAAAAAGTACAAGAGCACAGTAAGCACAAAACAATAAACATAATAATAACAGTGTAGCATTAAAAAAGGAGAAAAAGAAAACAGACGCGGCAAGCAAATTAAAAGAAATGACCCAAAATATTCCCCAGTGAGATACATTCAAACACAGAAGCAGTGCAATAACAACTTAGAAAAGAACTTCGGATGTAACCAAATACTATCTGCTACCGCAAGCAGATTCGAAAGATACGAGCATCCGTAAGCTATGCCGGCATCAAAAAGTGTGTGTGTGTGTGTGTTTGCGTGTGTACTCGTATGCGTGTGTGCGTTTGTATTTTAGTAGCTGGCGCACTTTCTACCCGCACCATCATCGTACAAGTCAATTAAGCCTGGCACACGCAAAGCCAAATGAGCGCAAAAATACACACACACACACATGCACACATGCACATAACTGCAACTAACTGCGCTGGCAGTGCAACAAGAACCACAACAAATCCAACAGCAAAAGCAACAACAACAACAACAGCTACAAGAATAGCAGTGGTTGGAAAAACAAGAGCAACAAGTTCAAGCGCCTCGATTTTTATCAACAGCCGCATCAGCCAAAGTCAAACAAGTCCAAATCAAAGTCAAACCAGCAGCAAAAGTTGCTGCTGCCTGCTGCTGCAAATTTATTGAAATTCTTGCAGCAGCAGAAGGAGCAACAACAACAACAACAACAACTACAACTACAATAAGAGAGGCAGCTTAGTACAAGTGTTTCAATTGCGGCTGCCGCAGCAGCCACAACAGCCAACTTCTTCCATGTCTTCCATGTCCATGGCAAAGATTTTGCTTTTGGGCTTGAGCAGAACTGGTCCGTCTGCATGTGTGCGTCTGTGTGTGTCTTTCTCTCTCTGTGTGCGTGTGTGTGTGTGTGTATGTGTGGTGAGTCGTGAGTAGTGTGTGTGTGTGTGTGTGTTGTACTTGCTGACGAGCTTTGGTCTAAAACGCAAGCTGTTGCAGTTGCAGCCAAAGTCAAAGTCGGCGCATTTAGCTGACGGGAACCGCGCCTTGCATTATTTGCATTTCATGTTTTGGTTGCTGCTGCCGCTTATTTGTAGCACACAAGACTACAGGTTTGCCATCATTATTCCAATCTGGCGTGGCAATGCCTCTGGAGCGACAGGCAACGACATGGTAGCGTTTAAATTCACGATAATTATTATAATTTGTATAATCTCTGCTGCTGCTCTCTGCTCTATTGGAGGTGTATTGAGGTTTCTGCAGCTTTGTGACACGAACGTATATCTCTTTAACACTCATTTGTTTACACTTCACCTCAGCTCTTCGAACACTCGAACACGAGACGTGAAATCATCAATTAGCTGACCCTCGACATGCCGTGCGCCTATCTTTCATTATCATTATGAGCTGCCATTGTGTTTAATGCTCACAAATTGTTCGTTTCCTCTGTTTGTGCTTTGTGATACTTAGATACACACAGAAAAACAAGCTTAATTCAATTTGATAAAATATTATCAAAGTCCAATCCAATGGACATGTCATATTATTTGCTTAAAACTCTTCAAATATAGTATGAAACGGCTTTAAAGGTATTTTAATTTTTATAAAATTTATTTAAATCTATTTTAAAATCAATTCAAATTCATTCAAATTCTATTTATAATTGGAATTCAAGAATACTAATGATACGTATGCTTGTGGGGTGCCCCTGTGCATCTAGTGAACTCTATAATTTGGAAATAATCAGACAGAATTGGTTAAAAGCTTTCTTTTGGGTGTTACAGGGGCAGTATAAAAAGAGTTCGTTTTAATATTTATCTATGCGAAAAAAGAGTACATAAGCCATAAAAAACAAAGTCTCATGTAATCGGATGAGGATGCTATCAACATTAAAATTTAATTTATTTTAATATCTACAAGTAATGTATAAATACTTGTAATATAAAATCATTTTAGAATGATCTTTAAAATATTTGCGTCTTCTCAAGTTTAGAGAGCGCAAAATTATGATTCCAAACAAATCCGTAAGCTTTTTTCTCTGTGTACAAGCATAATTGCTGCTCAAGTTTGTGCCTTAAGTCTTTTGTTTGAAATGAAATTCAGCTGAAGCTTGAGGCTTGTGTAATTAACGAGCTGCTCATTGTTTTGTGGCTGCACATTTTAAATGTATGTACATGCATGTGCTTTCTAAGTACGCATCTAATTAGTCGGAGCTACTTGAATTCGTTTTGATCTAGTGAGCTCGCTCTCGGACAGCAACAACAACAACAATAATAATAATGGTAATAACGGCAGCAGCTGTGGCGACAATTTTAGCAGCAACAATAAACATGAAATTTCTCCAAGCCGTTTTTGGTAAGCAGAAATGAAAGCAAGACTTCGAAAAGGCGAGCAACTTGATGCGCAACAGCCTCGAACTGTTGCTACTGCTAGTGCTTCTTCTTATACTTTTTCTTAATGTCCGCGATTCAAGTCCAAAATGGTCTTGTTTATTATTATCGTATACTCGAATACATTTTCGACTGCTCGCAAATGGCATAATTCTATTGTTCGACCGGCATTTGAGCTCTCGTCTCTTTTTGGCTAATTTTAAATAAAGGTATTTTACTTTCTGCACCGCATTTCACTTTTCATTTAAATAAATATTAAACTTGATGCGTAAAACTACAAAAGGGCTTGCATTTAGCTGCGGTGTGGGGCTTTCGCTTTTATTGAAGCTCAAATAAGCACACACTCGCACACTTACAATACTCATACACAAAAGGTATTTTTAATAAGCGACAAATAAAAACGAGACTATTAATTTCACTTTTAACAAGCAAGTGGCAACTTCATTGCCATTTGTGATTTGTATGACATTTGAAATTGCGCGAGAAATTACTTAATTGTCGACGCGACTGGGCGAGAAGCTCAGAAGTTTTCCATACATGGCCGCAATACGAACCGCACAGCATGCTGAGTCGCAATATCATGCCTTAATATGCAAATCATTTGTTTGTGACCCACTTTTGCCCACTCTCGAAATTCTGCGACTCACGTGCCGATCTCCCGTCCGCTCATTTGCCGCTCTACTCGCCATTTGGCCATGTCAAGTTATCTTGCGGGCCAGAAGCTGAACAATCGTGTTAATTTGCACATATTAAACGAGAAATGAGGCTCCCAGTAAGCAGCAGTAACAGCAGTAAAATGGAATGCGGCAACACAATTATATATTTGGCCAGAACGTGACCTAAATACGCAAATGACAATACTCGTACCCCATTTTTTTGGGTTGAGAAAGACTTGAATAGAATACTGGTAGTAGCAGCTTCTGTAGCAGCAGCAATGAACACGATCAAAATTAAGAGCCGACAATTAGTGTTCGATTCTAACACTTAATTAAAGCAATCAACTCAAAGCTGCGGAAATATTTTATTGCTTCCGTTCTGGTTTTTGTGCTCCGCATCAGATTCCGGCCAAATGACTGCCACATAAATAACATTTAATTGCACAGCATGAGATTGGAGTGGCTTCGAATGAGTTACAAAGAACGCAACACCCATTAGAGAGTCAAAAGAGCCGGGCCACTTAAGAAAATACAGTTTACGGTCGCTTGAAATTAATTAAAATTATTTTAATAGCAACGGAGGCTGTGCCTTCTTCTTATATACATACTATATGTACAAGTTAGTACTTTTTTTTTTTTGCAAAGCGCAGCATTAAAATGCCTGGAACCGTTCTAACGCCGACCACAAGCAACGGTCCGACGATAGCGACCAACTCAACGCCGACAAGTCCAATGTCAATGACCGTATTACGCAACGCACGCAACAGTTGGGCTTCACTCTCGTCACACAGACACGAACACGCACGGTTCTATATGTATGATCACATATTCTCAGACTCTAAGAAAGAAACTCTAAACGCAGCAAATTTCTCAACGCTGCAGATCACAGAGCATCGCAAGCTTCCCCAAGAAGAACAGATAGCGTTTCCTCTACCGCTTTCAGTAATCTGCCTCATTTGTCAGCTCCAGCTCCAGCTCCGAGCCAATGGATCAATGAAAACGTCTCACACACACACACGCATATACACATATACATGCCAAGTGTAGGTAACAAAAAATGTGATAAAAATAAGTATGCGTTATATAGTCGCACTGTCATCAGCGTAGAGCGCGGAGCGACTAAACAACATGGCCCTGCACAGTGGGATAAATTAGGTGGACCTCAAACTTTTTCTTAACCTTACTGCTAGTTTTAGTAGTCTACAAAGTTTATTGTTTTTAAAACATTTTTGTTGGAAGTGAGAATTAAAATAATATACATGCATATTAAGCAGCTCGTAAAAACGATTTATAACAGCAATCACAATAACTGCCGTTCCTATATCAACTAAATATGTATATGCAATTTATTTTTATAATAAACATTTACATACTAATTCTTAATTGCTTGCCCACTCATTTCTACATCCCATTGGCTACAAAACCAACTGAAATCAAAAAGTTTTAATTTAAAGGCTATTTTTTAAATAGAGTTAGGGAAATTTTAATACACAAAATATTGAAACTTGAATTTCGATGTACTTTGAATTTGGACTATTTCAAAGCCATTTTTATAGCTATAGTGAAAACTTCATCCACTGTGCCTTACCCGGACTCGCTGGCTTTTTAGTGAGATTGTAGTTCTTTAAGTAATTGCCGTTGTTGTTGTTATGTTATTGTTGCTTCCCAGCTGGGCATTAGCAACGCCTACTTTTTGTCGCTGCGCTTTCTTTCATTGTTACAGTTTATGTCATCATCATATCTGTACATTTTCAACTTTCTTCATTCATCAATTAGGCGTGTATTGAACTTTGGCTAGCTGAGAACAACACACACACACACACACACACACACACACACACACATACACATGCATATCGATGCATTTTCAAACAGTTATGTAAACGGATTTAAAGTTATACAACCGTGTGAGTCGTTAGCATGTTGGGCTTAAGACAAGCACCGAACTGCAGCTTTCTATTGCCTGTTTGGGTTACTTTTGCTTTCTATAAGCATTTTAGGCATGACTAACACACACAAACATATTACACATACGCACTGGTGAACCCAACTACAAATTGTTTATGTATCTTTATTTTTGCATATGCAAGTCACTCAAGCGGCATCGCCATCATATACTCATATCTTGGCACAAACCGAAAAATCCACTTTTGACTTTCACCCACTTGAGTCATTGGCGACGGCGTCGATGTCGGTCTCGAGCGACACACTCACCCAAAACTACGACGCACTTGCTGTGAATTGCTTTTGTTGTTGTTATTGCCATGCCCATGCCCATATCCAAATTTCAATTTTCTGTCTGTTGTTGTAGAAATTCCGTGATATTATTTAAGTGGCCGAGATATTAGTTTAATTTGCATTTGCCGTAAAACGTTTTACATTCGATGACTCACTTGGCAGTTTCCATACCTTTGCAGATGGACAGGTCGCCACAGCCTCACAGAAGTCAAACACCGCACAAAAGTAGAGCACGGAGCTGCTCCTCCGCCCCACAAATGACGGCTTCCCACACTCTTCAAATTGGCCTGTTGGTGGTCACCAGCCTGCTGCTGACAGCCACGCTCGCCAATCCGGTATTTGTGGATAATCCTAGCCTAGCTCAGTGTAAGTATTAAGCACTTCTTTCCACCAAACAGTTTGTTTATTCCACTCTGATGCTTTCAAGTGTTCGGTTATAGGCCAACTAGCAATGGGTAAATTGCTGGAAATCTACAAAAGATAATTTTAGTTTAGAGCGCGCTTTCATATCTGTCTGCATATTGCGCAGTAAATCTGACATCTCATCAACGCCAGCACTGCTATAAAAAGATTTTTCCTTAGAATCACTGCACTTTCTCTCACGTACGCTATTAAAAGTGGTTGAGGCAGTTCGTGCTTATATTTAAGATGAATTCTGTAAGAAACTCTGAATAGAAGTTTTCACCTAAAAAAATATAATTGAAATATTGAAGTAGATTAATATCTCAGGTTTTCAGTTTACCTATACAAATTATAAGTCCAGCTTCAGAAAAACTAGATATTATGAAGATAATATTGGATTTTATTTCAAAATTAGTTAAGTAAAAATACAAAAAGAAATCAAAGCCTTAGCCTTTGAGTAAGGTATACAAGTTAGGCTCGATCTCGAAACCTTTAACAGACAACGATAAGGAAAAGTCTACACCAAAAAAATTCATACTTTAGAAAATCTTCGAATTGGCTAAGGATTCTATTTTACTTGTAAATTCAAAGCAACACTTGAGTCTTCATATATATTTTTAGAAATGAGTGTAAAATCTTCAAGTTGGTTCAATATTTTTACCTTACTTGCTAGAAATAATAATACAGTTTGTCTTAAGCCTAAGAATATTCTAAAGTTCAATTAATTATTATTAACTTCAATTTGAAGATACATTTTAAATGCTAATACATGACTATAAAACTGAAGACGCACATTTTAAATTGTATTTGTGAAATTATCTACCTGTCCCAATTAATATTTAGTCCTATTTTCAAATCTAAAGTTAAAGTGCATTAATTACCTTTATTATTAGATCACTTCAATATCAAAAATCTACAAATAATTGTTTTAATTAAGAATTCATTTTAAAGTCATAACCCTTACGACGAATTCAATTCGATTATAAGTCCATTTAAGCATTGCACAAGCTTCCCATTCGATACAACTTGAACAAACACACACACGCACATCCCCCGTGCGTTTCTAATGAAAGTAATCAAAAATAATGAATAGAAGCAGCCTGTCGGTGCACCGTTCATAGATTAATTGGGTCACAGTCATTAAGAATCAAATTTATACGCGATTACAACTTCCTACCGCTTATGACACCAGCACCAAAGACAAACTCTCACACTTGCACTCATCTCAGCTGCCAATTTGTCTGTGAAAAAAGCCAAGCACGGACACTGAAGACACACAAAAAAACCCAGAATATTTTTGTAGAAATACCATTTAAGGAGTATTATAACAACAACAACAGAAATAAAAGCCATGGCAACGGCGACAATGGCAACAATGGGCATATGCGAGTGAGAGATGAAAATAAAACTACAAAACTTTCTTATAAAAGCCAGCCAAGCCGCACCGTCAAACAGTCTAACCGTCAGATCGTCAATGAGCCGAAGCGTCAAACAACCCAACATCAGACGCGTTGTCAGTGTAAGCGAGCAAAAGCAATTGAGGTCAACCGTCAAAGAATGTTGCCATAAAATGAGCAAGCAAGCAATCGCTGGCCAAGTCAGTCGGCTGCCTGGCTAGGCAGCAACAAGAAAGCGTGCCGTGCCGTGCCGTGGCGTGGCGGTGGCTGCGGCTGCGGTGGCGAGAATTTCATTTTTATGACTGGACCGACCAAAAACAAAAAAGGCACAAAGTATACCCGTACATACATGGCTGTGATGATGGGAAGAAGCAGCCAGGCGGCTGCAGAAAGCGGAAAGTAAATTGACGCCAAGTGAAAGGGAAATAAATAAAAACAACACCAACGACTGCGCAAACATGGCACATCAACAAATGTTATTGTTGCTGCTGTCGTTGTTGTTGCAGCAACAATAAGAAATGAATTGTAGCCTGACGCTGAACTCATTCTCAGGAGCTGCCCGCGTGGTCAGTCTAATATAATGCTTGAGGTCGTTGCGGACCCAGCGACCCACTTTTTGTTCTTCACCCACAACTTAAAATTGTCAAACAGAATGTCGGACGGATGAAGAAGAGCGAGCCGCGCATTTGGATGCCAAAAACGAATTTCCTACATACGAGTATGTAAATATGTATGTACATGCAATGCGCCGAATGTGCGGGCCGGGCGCTTGTCCGGGCTCTGCAAGTGTTGTTGGCTAGCGAAACATACATACATACATACATACGAGTATGCTAAGAGGTTGACCCAAAAACCACAACACGAAATGCAAACAGAGCGACAACTACGCTGACGATAGCACCACAAATACAAATACAAGCACCAGCACCAACGATCCACCCGCTTCGTCAACAGCAACAATAAAAGCAATAGAAGAAGCAGAAAGAGAAAAAGCTGCCAGTTCAGTCTGCCGCAGTCGTCGTCTGCGTCTGCGCCACCGCCACCGTCACCGTCCAAGCCGACGTCGTGCCGACGCTGGCGTCGCTGCCTTTTATGAAACGTGACAACGTTTAGCCTTAAATATAACTTATGTGAGTTTGTTTGCTTCTCTCTGGCACTCTCACGCTTGTTGTTATTTATTTATGTTTCGGTTTTAGTTGTCAGCATTGCAGAAGGCACAGCTAAGAGCAAGTTTGTGCCTTAAGTCTTTCGATTTGGGCTGCCTCTTTCACTAGAAAATGCTTACGAAAAGCGACGCCATCAAATTAGTTTATGAGAACGTGACAATTTGCGAGTTGTCAGGATTGTCGTATTAATTACATAACGCAGAAACCGTTAAACATCACGAAAGGTTCAATAAACGCGAAACACGCAGAGTGGACACCAACATCAACAGAAACACACTCAGGCAGTATTCAAAGTTGCGAGGGCTATAACAGAAATTCACAATAAAATAATGAACTTTTTTTTATTATTTTTGCAAATACTGCACATCATACATTGAAAATAATACTGATCAAAAGTGGCGTACCAACGAGTATGTAAAATATCAACAACTCTATTTTACTTACGATTCTGAGGGATATTCTTAAAAAAAGGGAATTGCACAACGAAATAAATTCGCTATCATATTATATAGGTCAATATATAAATAGGTACATATAGAGCACTTCTGTATAATTTATTAAATTCAAATTTAATGAATAATGAGAAACATTTAATACATTTTCAATATTATTTAGTATACAAATTGAAATAATAATAAATAATTAAACAAATACGAATAATTTATTATCAATAAAAACAATATCCAATTTATAAAAAATAATATATTATTATATAAATAATAAAACAAATACGAATAATTTATTACAAATAATTTATTATCAATAAAAACAATATCCAATTTATAAAAAATAATATATTATTATATAAATACATTGAAAATAAATACATTAAATAAACAATCATTTTTGTGCCATAATAATGGTAAACCTTTATTATCCGAAAGATAACACTACTATAAATTGCATAATATTTGTAAAAATCTAAAATATAGTAGGCATGGAAAACCTCATATAGACAATGTAAATATTGAATTTATGAAGACGAACCATTGTTTTATGGCTCCCTGTTTGTGCACGATCAGTAAACAAAGGATATGCCCTGCCCTGGATTTGGCCGGGGACAGTACTCTCTGCCAAGCTAACATTAGTCTTCGGTATACGCCGGCATAGCGTGCAGCCACCAGGCCAGTTACCACAGTCTGACACACGGTCTCATTCTGTGCAGCATGGCGTGATAAGTAACACGTTTCGGGCGAGTTCGTTGCCTAAGTCTCTCGTTTTTAGATGCAATTACATAACTTTACAAGCACCAAAATGAATGCCAGACAGAAGCAGCGACAAGTGCTAATGCTTAACGACCGGCGGCTCGATTACAAAACTCCGCGATGATTCTTGAAAAAGGCAAAACGAGAAAAAATAAATAAATAGAGAGAACAACAAACAAGTGCGCCGCTACTGTTGCCTCATCGGACTTGCTCTGCCGTTGGCGAAGCCGTTGTTAAACTTGCTGCCGCTGTTGCCCTTCAGCGACGCGGCTTTTGTCGCAACCCATTTTGGTGCCACTTCATTTTCACTTATGTTAACTGTTTGCCTAACGGTACAACTCTGTTCAAATTGGCGTTCAAATTGAAGGCGATAATCGCTGCGAAGGCAACGGCATGGAACACCTAGCTAGAACACGCACAACAGAAATAGTCGCGGTAACAAACGGAAACTGTAGAAATGGTTTAGTCAAGCAGAACCTCCATTATTGAACCATCCGATTCAGTTAGTTGTATATATATATATATATATATATATATATATATTAATCTCTAAGACAGTACAAAGATTGTAGTTTTTGAAATAATTGTAATCCCGATTTTAGCCCCATTTCTTCATCTTCTAAAATCATGTACTTATCTCAAAAGAATTTGTATGATTGTTTTGAATATCATTTTTAAATTTTTTATACAGTATAGTGTTCCACGAAAGCAAGCTGCTGGCATAGCATGTACAGAGTTCACATTTACTTATGTCTATAATTTCGTTTAGGAGGTTTTAGACCTAGCATGGCATAAGCACTTATGAAATGTAAAAACCATCAGGCGTCTCCTGGGAAAATATGATGACCAAGTTTGTCTGTCATTCAATATTCTCGAGTTCAAGTATACGGCGTAGACAGGCGTTATATTCTTTAGTACCGAATTGCAATTGATTGCATTATAACTGATTGTGGGAGTCATTGAAGGTATTATTAAAATATTATTAAGCTAAGAGCGGGTTTGTGTATTTAAATTATCGTACTCATATGAATAATTCAAAAATGATGGATTACTACAAAATAAACACATAAAATATATGTATGTACATAGATTCGCAGTAGTTTGAAATGTAAATAATACAATCTTATTCTCATTCTATTCGCTTATAGTTCAGTCTGGCCGCAATATCCGACATTTGCCCTGTATTGTGCGTAAATCTGGCCGCTCAGGTGTGTGCATGTTTGCCATCGACTGCATCAAACAGAATGGAACGCATTTGGGTACTTGCATAGACCGCTTCTACTTTGGATCTTGCTGTGCTTTAAAGGTAAGTCGCACATTTCCTTTCAGTGTATTTTCAGTACCTACTTTATTTTTCAGGACGAGGCATCGCTATTTGCGCCAGACATTAACGACAACAGCATCGATCAGAATACCATATCCCATTTCTCCCACGAGTCCACCACGTTGCCCACTAGTGCGCTTTTCAAGCTCACCACTGAGAGCAGCACCTCAAAGCACCACCAGCAGCAGCACCACCAGCAACAACAGCAGCAGCAGAATCATGCCAACGAGCTGCTCAAAAATGTAACACAAAGTTATCTGAGCACCTCGAAGCCGATGATTAGTGCATCTACGACAACCATCCACCGCACTACGCCTGCACAAACCACACATAAGCCATCGCACTTTGTGGTGCGCACCACAGTGAAGCCGGTCCTCAATGCGGCCGTCCTTGGAGCTGCCGGAAAACCTACCACAGCACCAACCACTGTCAAGCCGCCGCGACGACGCACCACCACCAGCCCCAGGCCTGTGCACACCACAGCGCCAGCGATCGAACAGCGCATTGAGACCACCACAGCACCGACCAAGTTTGTGACCTTCCAAATTGTGGAGACAACCACTCCACCAGTGACGGAACCCAGTAGCTCGTTTGAGACCACCACCAGGAGGCACACAAAGCCGACGAGACAACGCGTTCCTATAACAACAGCGACATCAATGAACACGACCGCCGCCAAAATAACAACAACCACAACCAGAAGGCCAACAACGGCAACATTAACAACAGTCGCTTCTAGCACAACGCGACCGACACCACCGCTGCGCACCACCACAACAACAAAGCCACAAAAGACGCACTCTAGCAGGCGACCCACGCCTGCAAAGAAACCAGCGCCAATAACAACAACAACAACAACAGCTCCTATCAGCACCGCCACAATGAATAGCAAGCAGCCACTGCCAACGCATAGCAGGCCTACGCGTAGGCCCATAGAAAGCGGCGGAACCTCTTCAAATGCCACAGCCACAGAAACGGCAACAACGATAGCTGCACCTGCACGCCGCCCGGCGCCAGCAGTAGCGACAGCTACTAGCGATGATACAAGCACCACCTTCACGGAAACGAAGCAACCACAGCGGCCTACCCATGCGCCACGTCCGCGTCCGCAGCCAACGGCCGATATCGTAAAAGTGCCTGCTGTACTGGCCGATGCAGCAACAACTCCAGCAACAACGAAAGCTACGCGCCGGCCAACAAAAACACCAAGCACCACAACCACCACCACCACGGTGGAGACGAAAAAGCAACCGAGCAGCAGCTCTGGAACAACTACAACGACCAAACCAACGCGTCGCCACACCACAACCGTTAGCACCGCAGCACCACCTAGGAGTACCACCTCCACCCCCACTACCACACAAACGCACACACTAACCACCACCGAGGTGTCTTCTACCAAAAAGCCAGGTCTAATCACCTGGACCGACGTGGATGCTGAGCCGCACACGAATGCCACCGTGCCCAGTGCCTGGCAACCCGCCGATTGGATACCTCTGCCCACCCTAGTGCCACATGTGGCGAACAAAACGACAACAACAACAACAACCACAGCAGGTGAGTCGCTGCCGGTAAATTTGTAGCTCGGAATGACCTTGTAATATTTAACTTACAGCCAGCAACAACTCTATGGCTAATGCCACAGATAAGGTGATTATCTCGGTGGCTACAAGCGTAAGTACCAGCGAATCAAAGCCAGGCGCGAGCAATTCCACAACAACCACCAAGCCGCATAGAACCACAAAGCCAACGAAAGCAGCGACAATAACATCAACGCCAGACAGCTCGACATCAAGAATAACAACAACAACAACAACAACCACGCGAGCGCCAACGAGCACCACAGCGAAAGCAGCTACAACAACTACCAGAAAGACCACAACAACCACGAAAGCAACAACAACAACAACAGCCGCAGCATCAGCAGCAGCAGGAGTTGCATCGACCAGTGGCAGCATTGAAGAATTAGAGTCCTCCACGTTATCATACCCTGAGATGAGCACAGAGAGCTACATCAGCACCGACAGCGGCACTGGCACTGACACTGACACCGACACCGACACCGGCAGCGGTACCGGGTCCAGTACTGTGGATTATAGCGGCACTGGAAGCAGCGAGGACTACAATACAACCGCAGAGGCGGGGTCCACAACCGTAGCGCCCTCCAATGCACTGGAGGGCGTCGATTACAGAGAAGGTGAGTGAGAAAAACTTGTTCCTCGTGCAGAATTCTATTAATACACCAGACTTTGGCCACAAGACAAAGATGCCATGTGGCCATTAAATTCAATTTGAAGGCTAAATGTTGGCCTTGAATCCAACTTTGTGTTAATGGTGTACGCGTCATTAACGGTCGGCGGCAGGGCCATAAAAAGGGAGAGGCATGCACAGCCCCATCATTGACTGCATTTCGCCAGCAGCTTTAGAAAGTTTGCCAAAGCTTTTACTGCGCCGACGAATGCCCCTTGCCCCATGTCCAGCATAATTTTTACAGCAATAATTTACAATAATGACTACAACGTGCGGCATGCAGCATGCACCATGCAGCATGGTCATTGTGCCGCTTGGGTCACGTCTGCGCTTATCTGCAACAAATGAGTCAGGCAGCCAGACTCAGCTCCAAGGAAGACAGGCAAGCAGTCGCGCAGGCGCAGCGCACGCCTGTTGACCGATTTGTGTTTTCAGGTTAAAATCTTGATGCACGAAACGAGTCGACGACGATGCTGCTCAACAATTTGCGCGCTCATGTGCTGTGGATGCAGCCGAGGCTGTGGCTGCATGTGGCGGCTCGTAAAGTAGGCCGTTGACTTCCAGGCAATTTTTATGCTCGTGAGCATGCGCTGGTTGGCCAAAGTCAAGGTTTGTCCGTGTCTCCGTCCAATAGGCCAAATCATATTACATTTGCCACATGACTGAGTGGCCGGCGCAGTGATTAAAATGTTTAAAAGCCTTTTGGGCCCATTATTTTAATTGAGCCACAGACAGTGGGCCGATCTGAAAATATAGAATATAGAATATGCTGTGCAGTCAGCTAAGTTCAACGTTTTAACAGCAATTAACAAGAGTTGCCAACAATTTTACCAACAAAATTGCATATTCAAGAAATATTTGTATTCCAATCTTATAATTTGTGCCACTATTCCCGAATACTGCATAATTATATTTTATTTTATTTTATTTATTTTCAAATTATTATCATTTTTACACATTCTTTCCAAACATTTAATCTATTAAATAAAACAAAATATATTGAATATTATAAATGAAAACATATGAAATGAAAAACAATTTTATAGTATTAGTAATATATACATATATTACAGAATTTAAAGAAATTTAAAGATTTCCTTTCAAATAATAATACCAAGTTATTTAGCTACAATAAAAAACCCTTATATTTTTTAATTGTTTGTAGCCAATTGTTAGCAACATAAGGCTTTTAAGATTTTTTGAGATTCAAAATTTCCCCTTTTAAGGTGGCCAGCACCCGGCCCCAACTTAAATCCGATACAATGTCTTGCCTAAACGGGTTTAAGCCAACTGAAGGCAATTTGGAATTCTAAAAGAGTTCGAGAATGGGAGAAATTTGACATTCAAATGCTCCAAAACTTGGTGAATTCAACGCCAGCTTGAATAACGAAGTTTCCCTTTCAAATATATTCTTTGGTTTGCTCTTATTTAGTTTTAATATATAAACAATGAATTTGTCCCAGTTAATTATTTCATTTGAAAATATTTTGTTTAATTTTTTAATTATATTTTCACAAGTTTTATTTGCTTTATTTAACTTGAAGTCTATTGATCATATTGAAAATATATTTAGTTGTTCAGTTCAGTTGTTAGGCTAAGAAACGCAAGTAGTGTCCTAGTTAATTATTTCAGTTCTGGCCCATAGTGCAGTGGTGATCCTCTTGGCGGATCGTCTATTAACTCGACACTTATTGTATTTTTACGTCTTTTGCAGTCTGTGGCCGGCGCATGTTCCCCGAGCCGCGCATCGTTGGCGGGGCGAATGCAGCCTTCGGCCGCTGGCCCTGGCAGATCTCGCTGCGGCAATGGCGCACCTCCACCTATCTGCACAAATGCGGCGCAGCGCTCCTCAACGAGAATTGGGCAATAACCGCGGCGCATTGTGTTGACAAGTAAGTGACGATCCGCGTCGATGTGGACTGCCAACTGAACTATAACTTGTGCTTTCCAGTGTTCCGCCATCGGATCTGTTGCTGCGTTTGGGCGAGTACGATCTGGCAGAGGAGGAGGAGCCCTACGGGTATCAGGAGCGACGTGTGCAAATCGTGGCTTCCCATCCGCAATTCGACCCACGAACCTTCGAATACGATTTAGCGCTGCTGAGGTGTGTGTTTGCGATTATTGACAGTTAAAGTTGTGACCTCACGTGCCATTGACCCCTTGCAGGTTCTACGAGCCAGTGGTCTTCCAGCCGAACATTATTCCTGTTTGCGTGCCAGAAAACGATGAAAACTTTATTGGACAGACGGCCTTTGTCACCGGCTGGGGACGCCTGTACGAGGATGGGCCACTGCCCAGTGTGCTGCAGGAGGTCGCAGTGCCCGTCATCAACAACACCATTTGCGAGTCCATGTATCGTGTCGCTGGCTATATCGAGCACATACCACACATATTCATCTGTGCTGGCTGGAAGAAGGGCGGCTACGATTCGTGCGAAGGTGTGTGTTGTGAAACCGAATACCGACCATATCGGAACATTTGGGACTGATTTGTTTTGCTTTTTTATCTGTGCAGGTGACTCGGGTGGTCCGATGGTGCTGCAGCGCGAGAAGGACAAGCGGTTTCAACTCGGCGGCGTTATTTCGTGGGGCATTGGCTGCGCAGAGGCCAATCAGCCGGGCGTGTACACACGTATCTCCGAATTTCGAGACTGGATCAATCAGATTTTACAGTTTTAGTTCAAGCGACGGCGTCGCCTGTGTATTATGCTTAATACTAATCTTAATGCTGCGCGCTCGTCCATACCGCCGGCTCAGTGAATGTCTAGAGCATTCCATGTTACCCTTATGCCTCGGTACTCGACTCGTGCTTCGGTTATGACTGGCTGATGACCGGATGGCTGAAGTCGGCCATAACCCGAGCAACGATTTCAGCTACCTTCATACGCTCGAGCAATAACAAATGCAATTTCCCAATAAGAAGATATTAAAAACAAACACCACTCCATCGTCATAATTTTAATTTTAAAGTGCGTAGCTTAAATGCCTTAAGCTAGTTAGTGAATGTGATTAACAAACACACTAAAAGAGAAGAAGCATGTAACGTATTTATCAATTTTATTTTAATTTATTTCAATTTTGCTGTAAATAATTTTCTAAATTATTGCATAATATTTCTAGTTATAGGTACGTTTAAGTGAAATCCGAAAATGTCATCTTCGTGTATGTAGGCACTAAGCGCTTCTATTCAATGAAGCTATTGTAATTAAATTAAAAACGTATTGTAATTATTTATTTAAAAACAACAAAAAAAACGAAAATACACAAAAGTAATAAAATAAAAATGTTTAAAACAAGAGCTCTTATATTGGAAACTCTGAGAATGCAGCTCAATGCATTTTAGTGAACGAGATCGTTTATTTGATACAAATTGAAGGTTTCGTGAAATAAATATTGATGGACTACTTACTTGTATTACAAAAAACATGACATAAATAACATACTTTTTTTTTATCCCGAATCCAAGTGGACAGTACCCAACCATTTTATTTATTTATTCTTCTTGAATTGATTGCGTATTTGATTGAAAATCAGCTATGGATTAAAGAACACAAAACATATTTTGTTATAACAACAAACGGCAAAGGAATATGCAGCAGATTACTTATTCAAGTATTTATATAGACAAGTAAGATCTTCACACATCTTGGGAAAATAGATGGGAAATATACTTATATGTACACTTCCATCTCTTTTTATTCATATAAAACTGCTCATACACTTACCAGCTCAGTAAAAATATTATGTTTTTGCAAAAGAATGTATGTAGTAAGGAGAAGGAATCATCTCTGGCCATACATACAAGTATATGGTTGATCAGCATAGTTGGACGAATGATACAAGTATGAGGGCTGTTGCTTACCATACTTTTCTCCATAAGTTGCAGAAGTGTGCAAACAATATACCCTTACACTTTTTAGTGAAGGGTATGAATGTGCCTCATTAGGGTATAATCGTCGGTATTACTAGTAAATAGTGGATGATGATACTCGTACAATTCGAGTCTTACGAACCGTTGATGGAATTACAAGCCAGCCATTATTCCTTTTTGAAATCAAAATAATTTTACCTGAATAACCCATCGATTTGGATGTAGGTTTTATTAAATGGTTACTCCTAGTTACAAAGTGCGTAATCATTAGCATACTTACAGGGGTACCTTTCTGAAATGGAAACTCACCACATGGTCTTAAAAACTCACCACATGGAATCCTAAAAGCATGCAGCACTCTGTCAACTAAAAAGGCAGTCTCTTCAGGTATCTTAAAACTAAAACTGAACTTCATGCTCTTGTACTTGTATTAATGGAGTCAGTAAAATATGCAATGTTGCAAAGTCACAGCCATAAATAAAGCTCGCCAGACATCCGCGTACCAGGCAACTCAACAATAAACACTCAACTGCATATACAAGCTGGCGCATGGACCCTTCAAATGGCACATTTATATGCATAATGCATGATCAACACGTCGCAACTATTCCAACCCAACATTATTTGGCAGGTGCCACAGATTATCTGCAGGCAACGACGTGTATTGACCGACGGTGTCCAACATTCGAGGTGCTGCGACAAAAGTAAAAACTTTCTTTGCGACTTGCGCAAACGAAAAACAAATACATAAACAAATTCCCAAATGCACGTATATTTCGCATAAGCGACAATTATTATATATGCCGAGCATGTAGCAAACACGAAACACCAAACTCGACGACTCATCGCACTGGACAGTGGGCTGGGATATTTAAAATGTTGGGCTGTTGGCATTTCTTTTCTCACTCACTCGAGTGCTGGAGTCTTGGGTTCTGCATGATGCAGTTATTTGTCATGATAATGTGGAAAAGAAAAATGCATAACGCCGTCTCCGGTCTGTGGACAACCTTTAATTATTGCCGGCCTGCGCATTGCCAACAGCTTTCGCTTTCGGTGTCGCTTGTCCGGCAGTAATTTCTGACCATTTACATGTACATACTATCTACATAGAGAGAAGCCCATGACAGACGGCGTTTTCGTGAGACAAAGAAGTGTGGAGGAAGATTTCGGAGACGTTTGGTTGGCGGCGTGTGGGAGCAGCGCTTTGGTGGGTTTTCGGCCACTCGAATGCAACAGAAGTGCATGTCGTGCCATGCACTGAAGATTATAACAAACAACATAAGCAACAAAAAAATAAAAACATGCTTTTTGTTTCTTTTGCGGCGATATCATAATTTTGTATGGCGTTCACGTTTAGCTTTGCGTTTTTGAAGGCTGCTCACGGGGGGTTCATATGTCGTTCGTTCGCTGCCAGTTAAAGATTATCAACGGCTACAATCATGAAGAGTGCGCTCTTGAGGAGAAGCGGGTTACCTTTCCCTAGCCACCACTTGACAGATGTTTCTTGAATAGCCGAACATCAATTGTGGCATCCATGCCCCATGCATGCACTTTCACATGCCTTCGTGTGCCTAATGAGCCGAGTTTAGTACCAAATGATAGCCAATGGGCAGGTGCAGATTATGAGATTTGGCAAATTGAAACGTGCCGCTAATGTGCATGCAAACAATATGCTAACGATTGCCAGAGATCACAGCTTACAGCGCCTAATCTACCATCATGATTTTGCTACATATTCATACTAGTATAATACAACTAGCGAAAGCCGTTGTTTCCAACTCAATCAAGTGCCTTTACTACACTAAACAAAAATTGAAATGTGTGTGATGAACAATTCCTATTGGATGATCGAAGCTTTAGCTTTAAAAACTAATCCGAATTTGTTTCAGAACAACTCAACTATTGACTAGACTAAGAAATAATCTGGAAGAAAAAAAATTACTACAGACTCAAAGTACACAAATACCAAGAAAATCAAAAAAAAAAATGTTGCCAAGGACTCTAAGCTCACAAATACCAAGCAGGACAAGTTGAAATTAAAAGTTATTTTTAAACCAAATTTCTGAGTGAAATTTTTATTTTGTGTATTACTTAGCTATCTATTAAAAAAAATTATTTATATTATATATTTGAAAAGAAACAGTTTTGTGTTGCTTGGAAAAGCAAAATGGACTACAAGGCATGAATGCTGTTTGTTTATGGCAAATCAGAAAATAAAAGCCGACTTTATTCCACAGACGGAAAGATGAATGATTATATATGTTATTATTATAAATGTTATTATAAATGTTATAAATGTTTATATTTATTTTCTTGACTGCCGTCAAATCAGTTAAGTTTTTAGAAATGTTCTTCGGTTTTCTTCTAAGGTATTAAAAAAGTGTAAAAGAGTTTAAATATGTAAACTTAAATAAAAACTTGTAGCTTCGGGAAGCAAGTTTTTCGTTCAGTGTTTGCGCTTTCAGTTCAATCGAAATATGATATACATCGTTTTTCTTTTGTCAATCGGTTTATTGTCGGGCATGCAAGCAATTTGCCAATTTGGGCGATTTATGACTTCGATGTCATTATTGTGTTGGATCGGTTTTTTAAATATAATTTTATGCAATGCAGGTATGTGTTTGGGAAAGGTGAAATTTTATTGGCTATTACATCATTTTTGCTATAGTCTAGTAACAGGATTATTTAGAGTAAGATCATGTGCAGTGAAATGCCATAAAAGACACCCCGATAAGCAAGCAACAATAGCGTCACGCTTACAATACAAAATGCCAGCAGACAATACTAGTATGTAGGCAACTTCCCACAGAAATTGTGTGAAAAACGAAAGCGATGAAGTAACCAAAGCCTCTGGGGTGGAATTAATTTCTACAGAGAAGTTGCACAATTAAAACCTTTAAAGCAGCATTACAAAGAATTATTAATAGCTCTGCACTTCACGGCCACTACAAGAGTCAGCAACAAAAACAAAGTAGGCGAAGAGTTACTGAAAAATGTCAGCTATGTCTCCCTTCCAGCCGTTCGGTCATTTAAGCATGGCGATGGCGATGGCGATGGCGCTGGCGCTGGGCCATGTGCTCCGAATGCACAACAATTTGAACAGACTTTCCCAAGTACCAAGTACAATGGAAATGTTTTTTTTTTCTATTTGGAGGGGGACTGCTGCTCTTACAATTATTTATTTTCTAGCCAGATTTTGTGCAAGCCAAAGATTTATAGGAAGTGCCGCACCGTCCACTTGAGAAAACCAAAAACCCAGCAAAGAAAAAGAAACGAAAGTTCCATAACAAGTTCAGCATTGCAAGTGCCCGTCCAGCTGGGCCAGATCAACATTATTTTCTCTCTCCGAATAAATAAAATGTGTACAAAAACAATCGAAAAGTACTCTTGTCCAGCTTTTGAAGGGAAAAGTCATCTGCAGCCTGAAAAGCAACCGTCGTCGTTTCCACCATAGACGCCATAGCCATTCTTCTGCAGGTCTGCACCATCACCATCACCAGCACCCGCAGCCAAGCAACTAACTAACTAACTGGCGCTGCCCAATGGCATCAATAGTCGTATCGTTTGATGAAATCGCACCGATTTTAAAAAAAAACACATAGTAAACAACACAAAACAGTTAGTTAAGGGCAGCCCCCTTGGCCTAATAGATCATTAATTTGATCGCATCGCTCGAAAATGTGCCACAATGAATTACACTTCATCCGGTAATTATTGAGGCGATGAAGTTTTCGGCCAAGTAAGTCGATCATCGCTACCTCTTAGGTTTGTCTAGACAACCTTTATAAGCCGCCAGCTTTTTTTTCAA